GACGGTGCTGCTGTACGGATGCTCTTCCTCTGGTGTTGGGCATGCGTCCCGCTCGGCGATCAAAGTCTCTTCGTGGATTGAACTTGGTGTGGGAGTTTCGCTGACATCTAATGGGTTGTTTGAACCGGAAAAGATCGCGAGTGCTTGTGGGTGTTTGGAGCTTTGCTGAACGGTACGTGGAGAGATACTTCCGTCTGTTGCCGTGACGGATGTATCCTGATCTTTGATTGTACTTTCGCGGCCTGCCATGTATCGAGCAAAATCTTCTTCAGTGTAGGTTTGATCGTCGATGGTGAAAGACTGCATTTGGGCTGTCTCTTCTGATGGGGTTAAGACGATTGATATTGCCTCGATGTTGGATAATTCTTTTGGCCTCGTCTGCTGGAGAGTGAGAGGGGAAACCGGCGACTGGTTATCCTCGATAGACCGTGTCTGGACGGCAACGACTTTTCCTTCCGCAGCTACAGGAACAACAGCCTCCACAAAATCAACCTCTACATACGTCGTATCGTGGATTATAAAGTGATTCTCGGGGCTTTCCTCTTTGTTGACAGGTCTTTCCTGCCTGAGTTCCTGGAATACATTGGTCACTACAGAGTTCGTCCCAATGTAAGACTGTGTTTCGAAAATGAAACCATCCCCGCTCATTGCCTCTTGCTTGCTGCTAGACTCAATGACCGTCTCGGTATCTGGACCGTCCTTCTGCGTCTGCCCATGACGGAGTTCCAACGCAATAATCTCAGTCTCAATGAAAGTTACCGTCCCGGTGTTGTAACTCTCTACTTGAACAGAGCATGGAGTGCCTATCGGCTGCACTACATCTCGTTCGATGCAGAATGCTTGAGGGTATACTCCCCGTTGCAAGTTTTTCGACCTTGTTGCATCGTTTCCCACCAAACCCACCGTTTCGGTATTGGCAGCCGTTTTCTGCGTGGCAGGCCCGCCATTCTCAACTGTGAGGATTATATTCTGAATGGATTGCTCTGATAATCTCTATACCATGTCAGATTCGATGGACCTCGTTCAGATAGAAATCCGAGTTGTGGATGGTTACCGTTTCTTCCTGTCTAGTCTCCACGACTGTGGTATTTGTATTGGTCTCGGTCTCTTCACCGAACTCCTCCCGAAACGGCCCGGTCATAGTTGCATTTGACACGTCAAAGCCGGTACTCTGCGTCGCCATTGCCTCTTGTGCAGTCTCTTCGCCCGTAGTCTGCCGAGCAAAATTTTCCTCATTTTTTGTATATTGCTGCTGGGCGTTTTCCTGGATTATGCTTGACTCAATGATAGTAAATTGCGTACATTTCTCTTCCTTATAGCTGGACTCCTGCGAAACAATGGTGTTCGACTCAGTATCAGCTACTGTGTCCATACTCCGCACTGCGGTCTCCTCAACGAAGATAGTTTCAGAGTATGATGCGAGTTGGGATGTGGACTGATGAGCAGTTTCCTCGAAAACGCAGGCATTTCTGTCTTGCGTTGAAGGCACATTAGCTGGCTCCGTAGCCCAGACGTTCTCTTCCAGCATTGAATTCTCCTGGGCCCAGCGATTCTGCCTAGTTGGAGAAGTGCTACTCCATGAATCGAGATTGGTCTGGTTGGCGTTTTGGAAAGCTGAGTGAAATTCCTCCTGTGTGTTTGCTATTTCTTCGACAGTATCCGCGATCTCGAAATACTTGGTAGTGTAGAGCTCTGTTGTGGTTTCTTGCTCAACGGCCGCTGAAATTCGAGTGTCTTGTACAAGGTCAACCTTCTCGAAGTTGGCTTGTTGGCAAGAATTGGTAATCCCAACACTCTCAACTGTATACGAATTTTGCTGAACGATCTGAGAACTCTGCGTATTCTCATTGCACGTGATTCCCTCTATTATGGCCGGTTCTACCTCGTTGATCGCAAATCTTCCCTGCTCGCCACAGAAAGCTCCCGAGCCGTCCAATGTAGAATAGTCACTGGCTCCGCCTTGATATTCATTCTCAACGTTGACCGCTTCTATCGAATACTGCTCATTTTGTTCCACGCCTTCCACGCCATCTTGGGTCTTATTATAATCTTCGCTGTATTCGTATGACGAACCTTCAACTGCATCATCCATAAAGATACCACTGAAGCCTTTAGGTAAATTTGATACATCCCGAAGCGTGGCTTCCATGTTTTCTGTAGCCCCTGCTACTTTTGCAGGTCGAGTGTTGCTAGTTTGCTGGATTTGGATTTCGCCTGCCTGGAGTTGCGGTGTATAGATCGACGGTTGCTGTACTTGGCTTGTTTGTAGTGGTTTCCTTCCGCTAGTACTTATATTTGACGGTTGTACTTTTTGATCCCTTGCTGGTAAGGTCGTCTTTGAACCCTGAATACTGACAGGTTGACCTTGTCGTTGAGGATCATTCGCGAGTTGCTTCCTCCGATTATGTGGTCGCTTCGCTGGCTGCTGTACATGTGACATGACTGCTGCTTGGATTGTTTGCTCCTGATAGTGCACACTTCCCACACCCTCTACACTCTCTTGGGTTTGGTAGATATCCACTTCCTCACACTGAACTTCCACAGTGCCGTCATTATCGATGGTGATTTGGTCAACCTCAACCTCCACATTGTAGCTTTCATTGGTATCGACAAGTACGCCGCCATCGTTTCCATTCCCACTACCGATCATACTACCCACTGCCCCCATAGCACCAAGTACTCCGTCATCGCCATCACTGTCACCAGCGATGAGATTTGAACCGGGTATAGTCACGCCTGTCGTTTCTTTCAATACCGCATTGGCAATCTTAACTCCGGCTCCAATGACTTTACGATTATTCCTCAATGCCTTGCCCGCAATCTTTGCTCCTTTCAAGCTGGTTTGACCTGCGATCTTTGCTCCATTTCTTACGGAAGTTGTATCGATCTTGGGCGCAGTAAACCCTTTTGGCATGGAAAATAGACTCTTTCTTCTCGAGGGCTGGTTATCTAATACATATCTGTTAGCGTTGTTCCGGTGTTTATTCTGAATACACAATAATATTTCAATAGTAGTGGGATATTCAAGCTCAGGATTTGTCTTATAGACGTTAAATGCAAAAATGAATGGAATATGCATGACATGCCTGGATATGTTTCCCATTGAAGATCACTAGGTTGGGAAAAGGGCTTCGATTGAGACGAGAAGGAGTTCGTTGAGGAGATGGCTTGAGGTTGCGCTGTAAAGGTTGCTGGAGACTGGGAGAGGAAAGTTATAGGTGATATTTGCTGTTGTTGCGGCGTGATAGCTGTTGAAATTTGCGAGAATTGGGGTGCAAGATTCATGGGTGAGAATGCAACTCCTGCATTTGTAGATTGTATTGTAGGTTGACTGACGGGGAATGATTGAGGAATTGGTACAGGCGCATATGTCACTGGTGTGAACGTAGGAGGGAGTCCGTAGTTGGGAGTTATTACTTCAGATTCAGGAGGTTCCCAACTGCTGTGGTTGGTGGTTGTATTAAAGAAATAGGTTCTTCCGTTTGCATCGTTGCAAATTATCCATCCAACTGGTAACTGTTTGATGGTAGGTGGTGGGGATTGAAAAGACGGCTGAGATACAACACTACGGTTCTGGGGACTAGTAACAGAGCCACTCAGGCTTGGTAGACTGGAGATGCTTGAGACGCTTTGTCGTGACGTTGATGTCGAGTCTTGTCGAGCAAGGGTTTCCTGTGGAGATACTGCTTGTCCAACTGGTCTTCTGGACGGTACTTGCTTCCTGGCTACGGGTGTAGGGACTTGCTGAGGTACTATCGGGGGGGTTGCCGGTCCATAATTCCAGGGTTGTTGGATGGCCGTCGCATGTATTGAAGGGTGTTGCCATTGGGGGGTTCGGCTGGGCCTGCTGCATTGTACCTGAGTCCCAAGTCGCCCCAAAGAATTCGAGGTCTTTTCAGGAGAATACCAAATGGTATGTATGATATCTCATGACACGACAGAAGAATCAGGAGTTGTATCTAGAAGACGAAAGGGAGAATAAAGAAGAGGATTCTCGACATTGGGTTAAGGCTGGGCTGAAAGTGAGGCTGGGATTTTGGCGTTATCTAGACACTTCTAATAGCGGGGTGCAAGCCGTCCCGCGGAAGTTTGACCAAAATAGTAAAAAATCAATAAATGATCGTCTATTGAGCCATACAGAGTTACCATACGCAGAGTAACAGACGGGACATCTCCTGATTCTCGTGGTCATGCACCGCGAAAACGCTTGGGCTGGATTGACTCGACGCGACTCACTCAAGCCGCGATGCAAGTGGGAGAGAAGATTGATAGATGAGCCCAGGATCGCACGAAGCTTGATATGTAAGATACTTGAGTACTATTACCAGGCCCCTCCCATGTGAACCGCGTTCCTTGAACCAAAGCAGGTGCATTCTATCCGAGTCACCACAGAAAGATGCAGTGAAACCTCATGAAGCTTGACTGAGCTGAGAATAGCATCTCTTGCATCCCTTCGCCAAAGATAGCAGGACAAGGGGAATATTAATCTCCAGGTGCGAATAAGAAAAGAGAAGTTTAATAAAAGCGCAAATGTAAGATCTTATAAGTTTCGCGGGGTTTTACAACTACCCTCTCACTTCGTCCTCAGGAGATAAGCTACCCTTGGCATTCTTATATTTTCATGATGCTTTTATAAGATTTCTCAGATTGACGGTGCAAAGGTTTCTCTCGGGGTTGTTTATGTTATTGGTGTGCCGTTCTCAGCCCTCTTAAGCTGCAAAGATGGGGATGGGGATGGCGCCACAACGCGGAACCGAGGCGGCCCTTGCTGTACCGGAATAGATAACGGAAGCGGTTACAGTACTGTATCATATCAATGCCCACCTTTGGGCCTCATAGTATGGAATAGCATGAGCTACATACCCTACAATCAAGTAGATTACAAACAAGCGCCCTACTAAATTATTACTGAGCCTGCAACAACAATCTATGACCTTCTCAGCTCACCATTAGCATTCTCTAAGATACATCTCATCACTCTATAGCTCCGTGTAAACGAAATGGATCCTGCGAAACTGATCTCGAAAGCCCGGGAGACTCGAGACTCCTCTATTGCACGGGTCGAACCCCCTCTTGCACCACTTCCAGACCCTCTTCCCAAGAACGTCACGAAAATCCCCAGCCAGATTTTGACTGCCGGGGAGCTTGAGATAACCGCCCTTGATGCTCCCGAGTTACTAAAAGCCATTCGGGACAAAGTATACTCATCCGAGGACGTTACACGTGCCTTCCTAAGACGAGCAGCTCTTGCCCAGAAACTCGTAAGTAGTTACCAACCGGGGTGCTTCTTCTAAACCCCAGACCATTGATATTCATTATACAGACAAATTGCATCACTGAGCTCCTCCCCGAGCGAGCCATCGAGCGAGCAAAATACCTAGACTCGCTCCCTCACCCTATAGGCCCTTTCCACGGCTTACCCATCTCCATCAAAGAGCACCATGGAATGCGAGGCTGTTCCACTAACGGCGGCTACGCGGCCCTCGTTGAACGAGATCCCGATGGAGATCTGCCCCTGAACGACGTGCTCTGGGAAGCAGGCGCCGTGTTCTACGCAAGGACTACGCAGCCCCAAGCTGTCATGCACCTGGAAACGTCGACCGGTATCTACGGCATCACGGTCAATCCTTGGAATACCGATCTCACGGCTGGAGGCAGCTCTGGGGGTGAAAGTGCACTTGTTGCTATAAGGGGTAGTGTTTTGGTAGGTTCGGAAAGGGGGAGCTGAGGATATGACTAACGGTATCAGGGAATGGGTGGTGATATCGGAGGTTCTATCCGGTGTCCTGCAGCCAATACTGGGATCTATGGCTTTAAACCGACACCAGGACGAATTTGCAGCACGGGAACTGTAGTTGCGAGTTCAGGGCAGGAGGGGTAAGTTAATAGCCTTGGTTGAAGACTGTTACTAATAGTATGCTAGAGTCATGGCGACCAAAGGACCCATGTCAACCTCGCGTTCCGGACTAGATCTATTCATGGAAGCCTACCTAAGTTACGAACCATGGACCAAAGAAGACTCAATAGCCCCCATCCCCTGGCGGCCCATCACTCTCCCCCCAAAGCTAAAAATCGCCATCATGTGGTCCGACAACATCGTGACTCCCCACCCCCCCATAACCCGTGCTCTAAAAGAAGTCGCCCAGACCCTCCAAGCCGCAGGTCACGAAATCGTCGACTGGATCCCAGAAGCCCACGACGAATGCTGGGACATCACCCACTCCCTGTACTACGAAGACGGCGCCAAGTGCGTCGAAGCGCTCCTCGCCAAAGGCGGCGAGGAACTCCTCCCTCTGACCGAATGGCTCATCAAAGACAACGAGAACGTCAAATGGCGCACTGCAGAGGAAGTATGTGCCCTCAAAGTAAAACGCAACGCCTACCGACAGCGCTACAACAAACTCTGGCGTAGCACCGCCTCAGCAAACTCCCCCATGGTAGACGCGATTCTCTGTCCCACCGGCCCCGGCGCAGCCCCTCCCCACGGAAACGCCAAGTACTGGAGTTACACCAGCCAATGGAATCTCCTCGAATATCCTGGTGTCGTCTTCCCCGTCACGTCTGTGGACCAGAAGGTAGATGTCAAGGATGAGAAGTACGTGCCGATGAATGAGCAGGATAGGTTTAATTACGACTTGTATGAACCGGGACGATATGTGGATGCGCCGGTTGGCCTGCAGATTGTGACGAGGAAGTGGGAGGATGAGAAGTGTTTGAAGGTGCTGGAGGTTGTGGAGAAGGCTATGGGGAGGAAGTAGGAGGGCTGGGTATTGCAGTTTCTGGAGCTTCGAGGACCGTGAAGGATACTGTGTGTGAATGAAGCAATAGAAAAGATAAGATCATGCTATCTTTTAAAGTTGCCAATTTCAAATCACAGAACGTCCTCCACTTTCAATTCGGTCGCTGAATGTAATCCAAGCTCCACTACGCAGACGTAAAGATGTGCTACTTCCTCCTTCCTCCGTACCTGCCACCGCTCCTTTGCACTCCTCAACTCCACCCGCCCCCACCGCAGCACCTCTCATTCCTATCCCCATTCATATCCCCATTTCCATTTCCACGCCATCGCCTCTCCAGTCATCCAGTTGAAAAGCAAGAAACATGAAGTATCCTCACTCATGGCAGCAATAGCAATAACAACATCATAAGAATTTCAATGCACTCAAAGGACCTGGAAGAAAGAACAGGAATGAAGATGAGAGATGATTTAACGTGCAGATGGGAGTATTTGCGTGTAGAGTGGTATCTTGCGGAGAAAAGAGAAGATAATACACGAGTGAGTGTAAGGGAGAGAGGGAAACCTGGTTTGAGGAGTGAGAATACTGTTGCTGGATGGCGGTGGTATTTCTTGTGAACATGTTCAGGGGTATGGAGAGAAAAAGATGGAATAAACGATCGATTGAGTGAAGAAGTAGGGGGTGGGGAGGTTGATGCATTTATGATACTTGTGGAAATATTAGGCTGTGGTTGTTATTATCAGTCGTTCCTACGCGTCAGGTAGAACGGCTCCCAATTTGCTGGTTTAGTTGTGTGGGATATGTAGTACTGTAACGATGTCTGTATGAATTAACAAAAGGGGAGCGGAATAGTTTCAGTGGAGAGGCAAGAGGATTTGCATACGTATGACTAGAACTATCAAGTATTTATAACGAGAAATTCATTCATCGACTGTGGCATGTACCTAGCTAGCATGGGTATACAAACAGACAAAGATCACACACTCAACCCTTCACCATTCAAAAGTAAAACATCCACATCCACATCCTCCACCACCTCATCCAGAATCCTCATCCCTCCCTCATCATCCCACGCAATCCGTCCCTCAATAGCAGCCCTCATAAGCCCCTCCCCAGCAACCTCTTTCTCCCCCGTAAACGGATTCCACTCAAACCCCTCCTTTAACCACATCCACCTCAAATACGCCCGCAGCTCTTTATCCTCAGGAACAACTCTCATCCACTCCGGCTGGAACCCCTGCTGTGTACTGCCTTCGCCATTCCAACCTGTCGCTAATCCGCGCAGTACATCTCGGCAGAATATCCGCCACGAATCCAGAGCGTATGGTCCTTGTGTCATATGCCCGATTTCCCACGCTGAGCGGATATCATCGTCGGATAGGATTTCGCCTTTCTTGATATCGCGCCCGGCATCCTTGGTAGGGTAGCCGCGCACCGCATAGCGTTTTCCTTTCGTTGGAGGATCCTCAAGCCATATCTTGGCGTACGTTTGGTATGTCGCTGCGCGCTGATTCTGCAGTCCTAGATGGCGGATCATGGAAACGATGTCTTCTGTATCAGCATCCAGGAGGGATTCTGGCGTGGGGTATTGCGACATGAGAGAGTAGAAGACGGGGATGGCGTGTTTGCCGTGGGTGCGGATGAGGAATGTGACAGCGATGAGGAGGCGGAAGGGGTCGTTGGCTAGCTTTTCTTGGATGAGTCCAAAGGTTGGGAAGGCGAGAGGAGGGAAGGGAATGCAGGATACGAGACTACTTGGAGAGCGTTTCTTAGGGCTGTCTCGGGGGGATGAGATGTCATCGTCTTCTTCTTTCTTTGGCGTTGTAGGAAGAGCAGACTTTGAGCTTTTGCCTTTTGAGAGGTTGGGAACTCTGGTCTTGCTGGAGTTGGGTGTAATGGGTGGTGTCATGAAGTAAGGTGATTTGGCAGGAGGGCGCTTTGATTTTGCTTTGATCTTGATACCGGATGCGATAGATGTACCTTCATCTTTCCCTGTTAGTCGATGTGTATCTGGCTCTTCGACAAGAGAATTGTGTTCATGTGGAATAGAAGATTCAGAGGCATCGATTGGTTCCTGCTTCGTGCTGCGAGGTGTAGCTGTTTTGGAGAAGCGTCCATTCTGGTCTCTTGAATAGCTCCGAGATCTTCCTTCAGATGTAGCAGTAGAAGCCCTCCTCTTCGTCGTTGTAGCACTACGGGATTCAGATCTACCTCGCGACGCAAACATTCCCTTGGAATCCCGTACGATATCCGAGGATTTAGCAGAAGACATTGAATAAGCGCGCCGTCTTGCTCTTCCAACCTCCAATTCTGCGCCATCAACTGATATCGAGTTGCTTCTAGATGCGAATCTCCCTCTCGAATCTCGCATAACAATAGACTTCGCGGAAGATACAGAATATGCTCGTCGTCTTGTGATCATAGGTTCATAATCGGCGTCTTTGACTGGCTCAGACTTGCCTCTCTTTGTAAATCGCCCCTCTGAATCTCGTACATTATAGGACTTTGCAGAAGATATGGAACCAGTACGTTGTTTTTTGAAGCTAGGAGCATACTCAACGTCGGATTCATATTCTGGTTCTATTTTGACTGCCGAAGAGAAACTCCCCTTGTTATCGCGTACAGGTGTGAAAGAAGTTGTGGAAGTCGTTTTGGAAGCCCTTCGTTTTCGTGCTCTGAACTGCGGACTGCCGACCTCAATGGAGGAATGAACATTCTCAAATGGTGGTGTAGATGGTGCCCTTGCATGTTCTCTTGGCGATTGTATATTGTTAAAGTTATCATGGCGGTGATCTAAATTCACAGGGCCTGGTTGAGCCGGACTTGCAATCGAGCTGTTGTCATATCCTTGAGTTTGGAAAGCTGCTCCATTCTTATATGTGCGATTGGATGGTGTAACATAATCGCTATCCACAGGAATCCAAGTCTTGGAAGGCGTGTAGACAACAACCTTTATCGAGCAAGTGGGTGTGCTAGGCGGCTCAAGTTGCGGAATATCAGTCTCCTGTATTTTCGAAGTATCCGTCTGTTGTTCCAAGCTTCCTTCAATATCAATATCGTGTTCTCCGGTACTATTCATATCCAGGAATTGATTACCACTCGCAGAGCCCTGGTCTCCTACGAGTGGTAACCTTTTGAGTTTCCATTCGCAATTTCGGTATCAACCTCCATGGTATCCGTGCTGGACTTTTCATTCTTTACTCGATCCCGTCTGCCGGCTTTGACCTTTTTGGTGTTAGTGTTGGGGAGCTCGGTCAGAGGCTCGTCGATGACTGCTTCGGTGGGTTCTGGCTTGGCTTCGGTCTCCTTCTTTGCCTTCTTTCCTCGGCTGCGGCGCTTCTTGTCGGATGGAGCTTCGGTGTTAACTTGATCGGAAGTGCTAGTCTGTTCAACGCCATTCATGACCTCAGATTCTGGGACAACCTCACTGCGGCTCTTATTCCCAGATGGAGCTTCGTTTTTGACTTGATTAGAAGCGGTAGTCTGTTCAACACCGTCCATGACCTTAGCTTGCGGTACAACCTCGTCAGCAGGCGTCTTCGTCTTTGGCTTTCGAGATTTCCTAGCTTTCTTCTTTGGTTTCTCGCCATCCTCAAGACCTGGAACAGCAATAACGTCCTTCGCCTTGTTCGTTTTAATAACGCCCTCAGCGCCGTCATTTACAGCTGACTCCTCACCTTCTTGACCAGTTTCACTTTCCGGAAGAGCATTCTGATTCCTCTTGCGCTTCCTCCTTCCACTCTTCTCCTTTTTCAGCTCCTCCGTTTCCTCAGCCGTGACTGCCTTCTTGGCATTCTTCTCTTTCTGCTGGTTCGCAATTCTCTTCTTCTCTTTCACCCACCCCTTTTCTTCAACAACAATCCCAGTCCTCACAGGAACATTGGCCTTTGCTGCCTCAACGGCTGCTCTACTCTTGGCAATCGAATCTTGTAGCTCCTTAGGTAGGGAAGAGTTTTTGGTAAATCGCTGAGATGTTGCTTCCTTGGAGGGCTTTTCGGCTACAGGGACTTCTTCTGCGGCAGCAGCAACGGTAGTAGTCGCAGGAACGATAGTAGTCGCAGGAACGGTTTTATTCTTTCTCGCCGCCCTTTTTGCCTCATCGGATGCCATTTTCTGTTCGTGCGTTCTCACGACGGTAACAGACAGTGCTGACGTAGTCTCGCCTTGCTTGGTCGCCTTTACTCTGACCCTCTTGTCTCTTCTCCTTTGTGACTTCGTCTTCCCACCAGACCCGATCACCGATACTTCGTCGTGATCCTTGTTGGTTGCTGCTGCCTCATCTGTGGGATTCTGAGGTGTAGTGTCTTCAGATTTCTCCTTCCTGGCCCTCTTAGAAGCTTTCTGTCCTGCATATTCCTCCTTCTTCTTCAACTCCTCCACGCCCAGTTCTTTCTTCACCTTTTTTGCTTTCGGCTCTGAAACCGCAACCTCCAGCACAGTCTTCCCAGCATCATCACCCTCATACCACGTCTGTGAGCCTTGAAGCTGTGGCTGTGGCGCCACACCATCCTCAACAAGGCGCTTTTCTTCTTTCTTCAAATCTCGTTTCCTCTTCCGTCGTGTTGTCTTGCCTTCTGGCTGCACATCTGCCACTGCACCGTCCTTGTCTTGTTCATCGTCTGAAACTGGTCGTGGCTGGCTACTCGGCGGCGCATAGTCCTGGGCTTCATCTTCAGATTCCTGCCACACAAACAATCAGCATAGATCGATCATCCAATCGCAACTTTACGCAAGAAAACATAACATACCTCAACCCTCTCCAACTCCCCAATCTTCTTCACCTGGCTCTGACTACTCTCATCCGCAGTCGAGCTCGGTATCTCCGTCCTTCCCATCTTCCCCTTCCCCTTCCCCAACACCCCACCCACTGAACTCAAACTCTTCGCCTTCGAATTTGACGTCGGTGGTAGATCGAGATTATCATCCTCAGACCCAGACCCAGACCCCCCTCGTGCATCATTACTACTATCCTCGCCCCTCCAAACGCGCGACGGAGAAGCCATGTCGCGTAGATCGGGCGTGAGCGAATCGGGGTGTAGGAGCTCCCACGCTGCAAAGGATGATATGTCGGATGCTGATGCTGTAGGTGAGGGAGTGCACATCAATTGGATAGTTCAAGACAGAGTGGCTTTGGAAATCAATTGATCAGTTCAGTCCTTTTCAGATCTCGTGCCCGTTTCCCGTTTGTGTTTGTTCGTGGAAGAAGGAAGTGTCTGGTGGGGAGGGGGAGCTTGAGATCGGGTTTTTTATTTTTTTTTAACGAGGTCATTTTCTGCGATAAAGAATGGTCGGGTTCTTATCTGCTACTGTATTGCAAGTGAATTGTAGGGGATTGAGGAATTGAATTTACGAAAAAAAGAGCAATGGGATACGATTCTAGTTAGAACATGATCACTGAGGGCAAAGAAAGGATGATTTAAAAGTATTTGCAGTTGAAAACTCTTCTCCCCATTTATACACACACATCTACACCCTTCGTTTTCTGTCTGCATAATAAACTAATAGCACAAGCACAATCCCTCATTTGCTCCCTCCCCTCCCCGTCTTAACAAAAGAAAGGCGTCTATGAGTAATATCTAGTGGCCTCTACGCCCCCCCATTTTCGGTGCCGCATAAGCAACCTTCCTCGTCTTTATAGGAGACCATTTATATCTCTTGACCCAGACACTCAGCGCAAACAAGGTTGATGTAAGAACCAGCACCTTCATGCCCATCTTCTTGCGCTGATCCATCTCGGGCTCCGCAGACCAGTTCAGGAACTCCACAACATCCTTTGCCATTTGTGAAGTCGTAGCCGGTGTCTCGTCCTCGTATTCCACAAGTTCGTTGTACAGCACGCGGGCCATGGCAATACCGGTACCGGGGAAGTAAGGGTTGAAGTTCAGACCTTCTGGCACAACGGCACCAGCGGGCGTTTCTTCGGGGTACCCGGTGAGCAACGAGAAGATGTAATCACAGCCTCCGTGGCGGGCCTTGACCATGAGGGACAAGTCGGGAGGGAGAGCACCATTGTTGGCAGCGCGAGCAGCCTCGTCATTCTTGTACGGCGAGGGAAGGTAGTCGGATAGCTTTCCGGGTCGCTTCTCGATCTCGCCTTCGTCATTGGGCTCGCTGTCGTACTCGTTTTCTTCCGCCATTGCTTTGGCTTCGTCAACGGTGAGGACGGTACCAACGAGGGATCTGTATGGGATTCTCGAGAGGGAGTGGCAGGAAGAGCAGACTTCGCGGTAGACTTGGAAACCTCGGCGGAGACTGTAAAATGTTAATTGAAGGCTTCTCTCTTGGTGGCGGAATCGTTCTTACGCTTGGTGGTCGAAAGTCTTGTTGTATTGTGCGTGTACCCATGGGTATTTGGTAGGGTGCAGACTATTTAGAATCAGCTACCATTCTCACACGATCAATGAAAGCTTCAATTTGCCATCGTTGATGCCCCGAGTATCCGAACCATCAGTCAAGCGCAATTGAAGCTCCCCCATAGATTTCCGAACTCACCCTTCTTCAACAGGTGTCATGGCATGTAGCTCGGGACCGTATAGATGGTAGTACCATGCCATTGAACCAATGGCCACAGCAGTCGCAGCAGTTCCGGCAGCGTTCAGCTTGAACGGAGACGCAGCTTCGGCGGAAGTGCTCGCAGCACGCTATTCACACATTGTCAGCTTGCTCAACTTGCCTTGCGATTCCTCCCAGGCCTCCATATATCGCCCTCTAAGCTCGCAGGAGCTCATTGATTTCGTACCCGGGATAGGGCGAGGTGTTGCATCGTACCTTGGTAGTGTTAACAGCTGCATTCCGGACGGCGCCGACAACTAGTCGTGATCTGGCCAACATGGTGATCGAGCAGCGCGGGTAGCTGGGGATCACTTCGCAGGGGAGACGGCGGCTCAATTGGGTGGTGGGGAGGTGTTGATTGATGATGTTGTCGCAGTTGGATGGAGAGAATCGTAAAATTAGCGTCGACTATTAGAACGCAACGCATCTTATTGGCTGCAGAGGGATCGGCCATTCACGTGACTATAAGCTTGTTTTTGACATAATATCTTGTGACGAAGAGTTCCCGGGATTGTATTTATCTTTTTCTATGCCAATTGTTTCCACGATAGGTGCATTTCAAAAGTGACAATGTGAAGGCAGACAAGTTGTTCCATTTTATTTTCCTAGAATTGTATGTATAAAGACAATTTTGCTCACTTGTAACAAACTTTTAATGTATTCACCCCATATTATCCCCATAACTCCCAGCAACATGCTTCATATTCAAGAATGTCCGTTTGGGCCTTTAACCAATTCTCTCCGCTGCTGGACAGCCTTTGCTAGTGCCTCGAGAACTGACTCTGTGTCTTCCCATCCAATACATGCATCTGTGATACTGACACCATACTTTAGACCTGCCTTACCTTCCTTGGGAACTTTCTGAGCGCCTACAGACTTCAGTTAGCATAGTCTCAAAACCCAGGATGAAGAAACTCACCCTCATTGATATTACTCTCAATCATAACTCCCATGATCGCCTGCTCACCCTTGGTGATCTGCTCCGCAAGCACCGCCGCAACCTTTGGCTGATTCTTATGATTCTTCAGCGAATTCCCATGACTGCAATCGACCATCAGCCGTCCATTAACGCCACTCTTCGCTAGCTGAGCCTTTGCTTCCGCAATACTCGCAGCATCGTAATTCGTGCCCTTCGTCCCACCCCGTAGAATAACAAAGCAATCCTCATTTCCCACCGTGCCCACAATAGCCACCACACCCGGCTTCGTCACAGACAAGAAGTGATGCGGGTGTCTGACTGCTCCAATGGCATCAATCGCCACTCCCAGTGTCCCATCTGTGCCATTCTTGAACCCAACCGGGAAAGACAATCCGCTCGCCAGTTCCCGGTGCAATTGTGATTCCGTCGTCCTCGCGCCCACCGCACCAAGAGACAGCAAATCAGCAGTGAACTGCGGCGATATCGTATCTAACATTTCACTCGCAAGCGGCATGCCCTTCTCCGTCAAATCCACAAACAACTGCCTCGCAGTCCTCAACCCCTTGTTAATCTTGAAACTATTGTCGATGTCCGGATCATTAATCAACCCCTTCCATCCCACCGTCGTCCTAGGCTTCTCTAGATAACTCCGCATGACGATCAGTAAATCATCTGCGTATTTCTCCTTCAAAACGACGAGCTTGGACGCGTATTCGAGAGCAGCGGCTGGGTCGTGGATTGAACAGGGTCCAATGACGACAAGGAGGCGATTTTGCGCATCGGTACCGTTCACCACGGCGACGGCTTCGTTGCGTCCAGCGAGGACGGTTTCTTTGGATTTGGGCGTTTGCGAGATTTCGTGCTGCAGGAGATCGGGGGGCGTGAGGGGGTTGTAGCCTCGGACTGACGAGTAATTAGTCTTTGGCTGAATACTGGAGGGTAGAATTCGCATTCTTACTGCGCCAATCCTCAGAGCTTCCTGTATTGCCCACATGGGGGTTCTCGATATGGTACTTCTATTGTTGGAAGTGGCGTTAGAACCCGCAGACATCTTTGCAATTGCATTGGCATTGGACTTACTTGAGCCATGATGGTAGAATAGCAATTGTACGGGGTAATTGACCAACCGAGTAGATTGTCAAGGGTTGAGATGGAAGAAGGGAGGAAAGAAGTAGATATTGTGGTGTGAGTCAACCCTCGTCCTACCGTGTGCAAAGAATCATGGCGGGGAAGAATGAAATTTTAGTGGATCCCGCCCGCCCACTATCATCCCGATAGAAGCCTGTCAATGTCGCCGAACGAGTTCTGCAAGCAGCTGCAGGATCAAGAAGTCTTCTATTATTATGGCCCATCATTATCTTTAAATAGTCACCAATAGGAGATTCCGGACCCGGAAGTATTATTTCCTCAGTCCTATCCTTTCATAGCACCTTCAGAAATACCTACTATTCAGCATTGAAGTTACATGTCTATAATGGTATTAATGATCAAGTAAAGCGATAACCCTGGTCGGGCTCCGGACTTTTTATTTTGCAGACGGAGACTTGTTCCAACGAATTGGTAATTTGTACCTATGTACTATTACTCTTCTTGAATTGGGAAATACTACGCATACGCATGGCTTATGGAAATGAAGATTGGAAGTCTTTAAATGTAGTAATCGTTGCGAAATGCAGGCACCCGTTTCTACAGACCCCCTGCAGATTGCCTAACACCTATCTAGCCATCCTCTATAACACGCCACTACGAATCATTTCACCAGCAAGCTTTAACATAATACATCTAAGCGTCGGCGCGTGCAACTAGATCTGGGATATCATCTACCGTGTTCCGTCCTTCTAGGATATCTGCTTAGATTAGTATCTGTTTCGGTTTCCACGGGATTGGATGAATCTTACCAATAACTGCTTTGAAAAGTGGGTATTCGTCAACAACTCCCCGAGTTTGCAAGAAGCTGTTCACCTCTTTTGCGGTACTCGTTCCCTGCAACTTTTGCCCGTTCAACTCTGTCTTTTCAACTTCATCTACACTGACCCCTCTTTCAACAGCCAACTTGGCACATTTGAAATTCCTGCCTCCACTGCAACTGGTAATCAAGTCTGCAACACCGCAACTCTCCTCGGTGAACGTCCCTGCATGGACAGAATGCCCAAAGAACTCCTTGCCGAACTTCACCATCTCTAATAAACCTACTCGCATGATAGCTGCCTTGGCATTGTCACCCCATCCTCTCCCATCTACGAATCCTGCTGCAAGGGCGACAATGTTCTTCAGCGCTCCTCCGAGCGAAACACCAGCAACATCGTCCACCATGCGGACATGGAAATATGGTCTGTGGAATAGTGTTTTGAAAAGCGCGTGGTCGAGAGGGGGATAGTCGGTTGGCAAGGCCTTCAACTTTGTCTTGCTGACTCTGCCTCTTACATCCTTGTGTTCCCCGTCTGCTGGTGTAATAACAAGATTTATTTGCGAGCTCGATGGACTTGGGGCTCGAGAATCGATAGCCGGGGGATCGTATGCGATGGTTGTTTCTGACCATTTCTCCTGGGCGATTTCGTTGGCAATGTTTGCTCCCGAGAGAGCCCCGCAGTAAATTCCTAGCCCTTCACCAATCCATTCGCTGAAGAGACTAATCTCAGAGGATGTGACGTTCACTCCCTTTATGCAGGATATGCCTCGGGCGAAGGGAAGAATGTGTCCTTCTAATTGTTTCGATATGCGGCCGATGAACTGGTGGGGTAGATTGAAGACGAGGATTGTGGAGCCCTTTACTGCATCCACGACGGAGGGGTTTGCGACAATGTTCGCGGGGAGGGCAATGTTGGGCAGGTATTTGACGTTCTCGTGGTATTTGTTGATTACTGCCGTGAGCTTCTGAGGGCCATCTGCGGCGGCGTCGAAGTGCTTAGAGTCTTTGGGTAGAGTGACCTCCTCTTCGTAGACCCACATCTGTACATCTTCCTCGAAGATGTCCGGGTTGGCTTTGGTGTTTTCGGCGACGATTTTAGCAATTGTAGATCCCCTGGCAGGTTAGCGGTTTATAGCAGCTGGTGTCAAAGCTTAGACATACCAATTTCCTGATCCCACTACCGTCACTTTGTGCTTCTTGGTGGGAGCGCCGAGAGTTGCCATAGTGTGCGATTGAGGTAGAGTGAGATGGCGGGATGTCTGTGCAATTCTAACGGCAGCTTGAGAGGAAGTTCTTGCAGTGAGTCGCATGAGCATGAGCATGTGGAGGGGAAAGGAAGGGAAGGGAAGTATAGAGTCAAAGGCGGGGTATCAAAATTGTTGAGACTGAGACATGAAGCTTCTTGGTCTTGTGCCAAAAGTTCTTAAGCTTGTGCTTGGATGCTACCCAGACGCTGATGCAGGGATGTTGACCGCTCTCGGGAAGAAAAAGATGGAGGGGAGACCGTTGGCGCGGGACAAGAGAAGAAAAGGCAGATGCATGTGAAATTGAGTGAAATCGACATGCACATCTGCATCTGCATCCACCTTGTGTTGGATGATGACACTCGTCAATTGCCAGCAAAGATCTTCATGTTGCACGAACCATTTGGTGCAGCTATACCCACGTGAGTACTCGAGTACTGGGACGAGAGTTGTTGATCATGGGGAAAGCGTGCGGGGAGTGGAGGAGGGGATGCATCATGTTGATGTTCCTGCCCTCTATACCGTATAACTTCCTACAACAAAGAAACCTCGTAAAATGGTAAAATCAATAAATGTTTCTCTAATTATCTACTTGAGATCTATAAAACATCTGCAATTCCTCAATCCCTCAATCCCTCAACACCAAGAATACCAGAAGCCAAGTACTGTTCTATACCCACCTAGGAAGTAACGACCAGGGGCATCCACCCATGTTCCCCACTTCCCACTCACTGTCAGTCAGTCCCTGGGTGTGTGACGTACCAATCCATCACCGGTCTTTCCACTGTTGACATCCTAGTCCATCTACCCTTTTTCATCTTCATCTTCACCTTCATCCTCACCGTCGTTTTACATTGTTATATCTGCACACTCGCATTGCTGCTCTTCTCTTCCCTTTTCCACATTTTCTCTCCTCTGGGCCTCTCCTTTTTGCCTACACAGTACATCATCTCGTCCCCCCCCCCCCCCTCCTTTCAAGCTCTGGGAGAGCTCCTACCCGACAATCAATTTGGTCCAACAGCTACTACAACAGCTACTACAAGATCAACATCATCGACAACTACAATACAACACAACACAACACAACCCACCACAACACAATGGCCCCGAAGACAGTAGTCTCCAAAGATGTTTATTTACTTCCTCTCAATGACGATGGGAGCCCCGATGTTGCCGGAGGTTACATCTACCTTACCCCCAAGAGTGCTGCTCCCATAATCGTACGCTTTGCTATTGAGGGGACATCCTCCATTTGTCGCCATGGAAGCCTGTGGGTGAATATCCCAGAGGAAGGTGCCGATTTCCACAGAGAGAAGTTTCGAGAGTTCAAGTAAGAAGACATGTGTTGGTGGAAGTTTTAATCTAATGTAATCACAGACTCGAGCCAGACTTCAATCGCACCATTGAAATCTCCCTGCCCATCCACGGTGCTGGCGCATTTGCCTTCTATACCACCTACGCCCCTCTTCCCGACCTCTCCGAGACCCACGTCAAGCCAACTACTCCTACGCAGACTCCTACATATTATATCGATGTTGCCCCGCGCTTGTCATTGGAAGGCAAGCAGATGCCAATGGAAGCCCTGTCAATCTTCTCACTGATCTCTAAATTCATGGGCAAGTACCCCACTGACTGGGAGAAACACCTACGGGGCATCAGTGAGAGGGGTTACAACATGGTCCATTTCACACCATTGCAGCACCGAGGCCAATCCAATTCCCCATACAGTATATATGATCAGCTTGGCTGGGATCCAAAGTCCTTTCCCAATGGGGAGGCCGATGTCAAGAAATTGATTACTAGCATGGAAAAGACGCACGGCCTACTCGGCCTCACAGATGTTGTATGGAACCACACGGCCGACAATAGCAAATGGCTTCAAGAACACCCCGAGGTCGGTTACAATGTTTCGACCGCACCTTGGCTCCGGTCAGCCCTTGAGTTGGATACCGCCCTTCTTGAGTTCGGCCGTGACATGGAAAAGTACGAGCTTCCTACGACCCTAAAGACCGTAGACGATCTCATCAAAGTCATGGATGGGATCAAAGAGCGAGTCATTGCAAAACTAAAGCTTTGGGAATACTACGTTATTCAAGTGGAGCGCAATGCTGACGCAGCTGTGGAAGCATGGGCTACAGGCAACATCACCTTTCCCGAAGGCGGATTCGGTGGCTCTGATTTTGGTGGCCTGGAGACCATTAAGAATGCAACTCCGACCCTGCAGGCTGAATTCTTAAATAAGAGCGCATTGTTGAGTAAAGACATCCTCGGTAAACGATTCCAACGTTCTGTCAATCCATCTATCGCGGCGGCGTTGCTCACGGCCATCTACGGTCGCTTCAAGGGGGATGATTCGAATAGTGCGGATCGAGGGGTCGCACGAAGCCGGATTGTGCATATTCTGGACGAGCTGAACCTTCCTCTCTACAAAGAGTACGACGTGGATGTCGCGGAAATTCTCGAGCAGATCTTCAACAGAGTCAAATATGTCAGACTCGATGACCATGGACCAAAATTGGGTCTGATTGATGCCAAGAACCCTCTCATCGAGTCTTATTTCACGAGACTTCCCAAGAACTCAATTACCGAGAAGCATAACCAAGAAGATCTTGCACTGGTAAACAATGGCTGGATTTGGGCAGCGAATGCTCTGATTGATAATGCTGGTCCAAAGTCCCGTGCTTACCTCCGAAGAGAGGTCATTGTTTGGGGTGACTGTGTCAAACTTCGTTATGGAGAAAAGCGCCAGGATAGTCCTTTCTTGTGGGATTTCATGGCCCAGTACACTCGGTTGATGGCAAAGTACTTTACTGGCTTCCGCATTGACAACTGTCATTCGACTCCTATCCATGTTGCCGAATTCCTGCTTGATGAGGCCAGAAGAGTTCGCCCAAATCTGTTCGTCGTTGCTGAGCTGTTTACCGGATCTGAAGAGATGGACTATGTATTTGTCAAACGCTTGGGGATAAGCTCGCTGATTCGAGAAGCAATGCAAGCTTGGGGAACTGGGGAGCTTAGCCGACTGGTGCATCGCCATGGTGGGCGACCCATTGGTAGTTTTGAGATTGACGAAGTCTCGGGAGCAGACTCAGAAAAAGACGCCAACGGCCATATCAATCGTAACTCCAGCAGGGATATTGTTCGTCGGATCAAACAGACGCCTGTTCATGCCCTCTTCATGGATTGCACCCATGACAATGAGGTGCCTGCTCAAAAGCGCGATGCCCGAGATACCCTGCCGAATGCAGCTCTTGTCAACATGTGCGCCAGTGCAACTGGCAGCGTCATGGGCTACGACGAGGTCTATCCAAAGCTTGTGGATCTTGTTCATGAGACCAGATTGTATTCATCACCCTCATCTACAGGGCCTGTTGAAGTTGGTGATGGTGAAGGCGGCATAGGAGGCATTAAAAAGCTTTTGAACCAAATCCATACACTGATGGGCAAGGATGGGTATGATGAGACTCACATCCACCACGAGGACCAATATATCACTGTTCATCGTGTTCACCCCGAATCGCGGAAAGGATATTTCCTCATTGCGCACACGGCATTCCCTGGCTATGGTAACGGAAACGGTGGCCTCAGCCCAGTTCATCTTGGAGGCACGAAAGCACGACATTTGGGAAGCTGGATGCTTGAAGTCGACGTCAGTGAAGAAGCAAAGAAAGAGGTCTCAGAAGACAAGACGACTTTGAGGGGCTTACCAAGCAAAGTCATTAGTCTTCCCGGCGTACGGATGGAAACGAAAGACGATGAGACTATAATCTCTGTTCGTGAGAAGTTTCCTCCTGGCAGCATAGCACTCTTTGAGACTTGGATTCCTTCGGCTGAACATGCATCGGGACTTGATACCTTTGTTACCTCGGGAGCAAAGGTAGCCTTTGCAAACTTGGATCTGATTGATCTCAATTTCGTGCTGTACCGATGTGAGGCAGAGGAGCTAGATTCAAGTGACGGCAAGGATGGCGTCTACGACATTCCAGGACACGGTAAACTTGTGTATGCCGGTCTGCAAGGCTGGTGGAGTGTTTTGAAGAAGATTATCGCAACCAATGATCTGGCACATCCCCTTTGCCAACATCTTCGGGATGGACAATGGGCGCTGGATTATATTATTGGACGTCTCGAACGGATCTCGCAAAAGGCAGGCTATGAGCGATTACTGACGCTAGCCATCTGGCTTAAGGAGCGATTTGATGCGATTCGGAAAATTCCAAGCTTTTTACTGCCGCGGTACTTTGGTCTTGTGCTTCGAACCGCCTACATGGGGGCATGGGAGCGTGGCCTGGAGCTCATGAATGAAAATGTCCAGAAAGGACAGTGGTTCTTGAAGGATCTTGCTATGGTCAGTGTACAGCAAACAGGCTTTGTCAAATCAGCCTCTCTGTATCCAGTGAAAGAAGTACCATCGTTGGCAGCTGGTCTTCCCCATTTCGCGGTTTCGTGGGCAAGGTGCTGGGGCAGAGACGTCTTTATATCTGCAACTGGTCTGTTCCTTGGTACAGGCCGATATGCTGAGTGCAAAGAACACATCATCGCATTTGCAAGCGTCATGAAGCATGGAATGGTTCCCAACCTTCTGAGTAGTGGCAATAATCCCCGATACAATGCTCGAGACGCCATTTGGTTCCTTTTGCAATGCATTCAAGATTATACGAAGATTGTTCCCAATGGAATCGAGCTACTGAAAGAAAATGTTCCCCGCCGGTTTCTTCCTTACGATGACACTTTCTTCGACGTCGACGATCCGCGAGCTTACTCCAAAACCTCAACACTCGAGGATATCATTCAAGAAGCACTCCAGCGTCATGCCTCGGGCATGTCATTTCGGGAGGCCAATGCAGGCCCAAACCTGGACATGCAAATGAAGTCGGAAGGATTCGACCAGAAGATATTTGTAGACTGGAGCAATGGTATCATATTCGGTGGCAATCAAAACAACTGTGGGACATGGATGGACAAGATGGGCGAAAGCGAGCGAGCGCATAGCAAAGGCGTGCCTGGAACCCCTCGCGATGGCGCTGCAGTTGAAATTACCGGTCTTCTCTACAGTGCTTTGATCTGGTTGGCGAAGCTTCACAAAGAGGGCAAGTACAAGTATGCCGGCGTTAGTACCTCTGATGAAAAGCTTAAAGTCATCACTTTGGGCGATTGGTCTCTCCTGATCAAGAACAACTTCGAACGATGCTATTACGTTCCCACCGAGCAGAAGGACGATAAGAGCTACGACATCAATTCCAAAATTATCAACCGTCGCGGAATCTACAAAGATATTTACAGATCAGGCAAAGAATACGAAGACTACCAACTCCGTGCCAACTTTCCCATCGCCATGACTGTTGCACCAGACCTTTTCGACGACTCTCACGCCCTACACGCTCTCATCCTCGCAGATAAACACCTGCGTGGACCTACTGGAATGGCTACACTTGACCCCGCCGACCTCAATTACCGCCCTTATTACATCAACTCCGAAGACAGCGATGATTTTGCGACCAGCAAAGGCCGCAATTACCATCAAGGTCCAGAATGGCTTTGGCCTACTGGTTTCTTCCTTCGCGCTCTCCTGAAATTTGATTTGAAGAGGAGAAAGGGACCGGAGGAGAAAACAGAAGCGTTCCAGCAGATTACCCAACGTCTAGTAGGTTGTAAAGAGTCGATCAACAGTAGTGATTGGGCGGGTCTTCCGGAGTTGACGAACAAGAACGGGGAACTTTGTCATGATTCGGTAAGTGGACTTTGATTTTGAGAAGAGGAGTGCTAACTGGAATCATAGTCACCGACGCAGGCTTGGAGTGCGGGATGCTTGATTGATTTGTATCGTGATGCGGCGCTGTATGGTGCGAAACAGCTTTCGGAATGATATTGCTGTAGCTGATTGCTTGAGCGAGGCGTTGAAGAATGAATGGATGCACAAGGGATCAATGGAAAATAAATTGCATGAGGTACGAATTCATGATAGCATTATTTAGATAGGTTTGCAGTCCTCTAGATTATAAGAGGCCTTCTACTAAGCCTTAGAAGGTCTCGCGTCCTGACACTAGTTAGTTGCGTCGCTGTACATAGAAAAAAAACCGATTAATCTGCGTCCTTTTTTAATTTGTTATTTTCTCTTTCGCTCTTTAATTTGTTATTCTCGACACATTACATTGACTTTGCCCCGCATGTTGTGATATTTGCCTTCCCCGACACTACGGTCTACTTCCATTTTATAATCAGGAGGAGAAAGTCGTCGCGGTTGTAAGTCGCGGCGGGATATATATCTGCAAGATCTTAAGGAATTGCTGAAATAGGCCTTGGCATATCAGGGAATGGGGGTATCTTCAATTCACATATTCATTGTCTACTAATGCTATAAAAGAAAAACTCTTCAAATTCCGAGAGTCACAACTTTATATCCCACCAACACTTCCAGCTTGTAACCTCTTTCCTTAGGCCGGCGAACTTCGGCACACCCATTCCTCTCATACCATATTGCACAAAAGAGAAAAAGAGAATGCGTCAAATCTTCAACGCCCTTCGGAAACGGGCATCCCAAGGCCTTCGTATTCGTGACACTCTCTGAGACGATGGCACGGCATGCTCAATCTCCGCCGCCACTCCCCACCATCCTGGTATTAAGACCGCCTCGACGAAGAAATCCGCGAAGTCACAGCCGCAACCTCTAGAATTGCTAAGCTCAGCGAGACATCCGACGTCCTGTTCTCGATCATCCGAGCTCGCTACGACGGCTTCCCGGTCCAAGAACCGCCTCCGCCCCTCTGCGTCAACTATCGCCATATCTTCGTATTCCTCTACATGCTAGGGAAATTCACCCTCCGTTGGCAGTTCTACCGCACCGCTGCGTATCTGTGCTACACGACACACTGTGATGAGGTACGGGAAGTAGTTAATCCGGGAAAGGAACGTAAGCGTAGGGAGGTTGCTAGGAGGCATCACATTGATCCGGAGAGGTTCGAGAGGGTTTGCTGGTGGCTGCGTTGGGTATTCCCACTTCTGCCTTGAGTGGTGGCCCGAGGACGGGGGTTGGTTTGTAGATCGTTGGTTGGGGTGAGTAAGAAGCTGGTATGTTGACTTTTGGATAGATGGATTGCTAACGATCGTTATTTAGTCGGTGATATCAATACTTTGTCTTGAATCCCTGCTTGAGAAGTTGAGATATTTAGCTTAGGCTGTTGGGTGATGGTCTGAAAATTATGAGGGGAAATCCCTGAAAAGGTGTGGAAAGATAAGATAGATGAAGCAGAATAAAAATGAACTAATAATAAGTTATTAATATCCTGGTATCAAAGTAGGCAACTGTCCTTGATATGGTACTTGTACTCTTCCCTCCCAGCGATCCTCAGCAGGTTTGATACCTTCTGTTTTCTGCAACCTCAAAGCTACAATCTCATTTTGCCGCCAAACACGTAGCATATTCTCCCCAGCTAGCTTTCGCACATCCTCATCTGTTGCACCGCGTCGCATCAGGGCTACCATCAAGAGAGGATACCCCGAGACATCGTTGATTCCGTTGGCGATATTAATAGTACCGTCGAAGTCTCCACCTGTGTCAAAGGTTAGACGAGACAATATAAAGGAGCGTGGATAGTAAATTCTATGACATACCAATACCAACATGGTCCCAACCTGCTAGCCCTACAGCGTGAAATATGTGATCTGCTACCGTCTCGACGTTGGCGTTTTGTGGATGCTCTAAATCCAGGAACTTGCTGGCGAAATATATCATGATAATTCCCCCGTTAGTCTTCAGCTGTACTATCACATCATCTGGGGCATTTCTAAAGCTCTTTGCCAGTCCATAACATCCCGTATGTGAGAAGATGACGGGTGATTGCGAGATTTCTAGGACGTTCCTCATCGTACGGTGAGATACATGGCTGAGATCAATCATCATCCCTAGTCGGTTCATCTCCTCAACACCCGCTCTGCCGAAATCCGTCAGCCCGCCATCTTTCCCAGTCATGGTCACTGTAGAGGCTGCGGTAGCGAATGGGTTATCGCAGTTATGGGTAAGTGTGATGTAGCGGACGCCGAGATCGTAAAACTGCCGTATGACAGCAATGGATGAACCTGCTTGATGAAGTCCTTCTACTCCTAGCATAGAAGCAATGCTGCCAGATCCAAAAGCTTTCATTGCGCAACTGGCAGTGTCGCAATAGTGTAATTCGGAATATTCATTGATGAAGCGCTTCGCTACATCAATCTGCTCTAGGGTATCTCGTACATTATGCTAATAAATGGGATCAGTCAATGCTGTTTAGGCGCTACGATTTGGCTCAATGGACTTACGGTTGGGTCATCAAGATGTACGATATCTGGACACTGGAATCAATGTTTTAGCTTCGATGTGTATGGGAGAAGGCAATAATGGTACCTCAATATAAACAGACCAGAACTGTCCCCCAAGCTTGCCCTCTTTCATACGTCTCAAATCGGTGTGGCTACCCAATTCTAGTTACACATGTGCATTAGTATGTGACAAGCAGGCTATTATCTCGGCACTCTCACTTTCTCTAAATGGGAGTCGGTCGCCATAGATTTGATTATCTAATTGCATTCGCAATAGAAATGGCAAGTCATTGTGTCCGTCTATCAAGGGTGTCGTCTTCAACAGCTTGTCTGTGCGGGCTCTGTAATCTGTCGAGCTGATGCTGGGCTGGCTAGGTGATAATCCCACCCAAAAAAGAAGGGTCATGCCAAGTAACGGTATGAAGATGAAGGACTTTTTAAAAAGGCTAGAACTCGCATTTCGGGGATTCGCAAGGACAATTTGGCGAGCTTGTTCATACTCTTGCAATTGTTGCGCATCATGCGCTACTGCATGTGGTCTCCTGATGGTCTGTGATACCTCCATGGCGGGAGAGCTGCGTGGTGGAAATGACCTAAGGTATGACCAGGCAGATGATAAGGATCTATCGCTTTGGAAAAAGAAAAACAAAAATCTTTTAGAGTTCTGCTGGTTTGATGAGTCCACTCTTGAGCCAGGGGGCTACCGTCCTGCTGGTACAGACTACTCAGATATTAAATCTCGACCCTCAGCCGAAGGTTTCCCGGCACTATAGACCCCGTAGTATCTCTTCCGGAGTATAGTTCTTGTGCGGTCAAGAGATCATCGAACTATGGTTAAATCCACGTTTCCACAACGTGGCATTTGACGCTTGCAACCTGCATACTACGTACGCAGCAATAGGTGGGGTAGAGGCCGAAGCAGATTTGAACTATAGCCGATCTCTTATTGCTGATCTTTTGCGGCGAATATAGGGCTGGCCACTTAGCGGTGACACATAAAACTCTCGAGATAAGACAGATAATATCTTAGAGGGCATGGCTAGTGATTCCAGTTTACATTTCCTCCATTGCTCTATTTGCCATATGCGGCCTGGTTCCTAAATCTAGACCTCGAACAACTCTACTATACATGCATGTTCAAAATATCTGTAGATTTATGAGATCCACCTTTCCATTTGTTCCTATCCTTGCCTACTACTTCAAGTCTCAAGTTACCATAGGTGTTAAGCCTAGAAGTCTGTCAAGAGCGGCCACAGCGAATATCCAGGATCAACCTTGTCAAGTTGTAAGTGATAATGCCCCAAAACTCCCTGGTACTGATGAGGCTCAGGCATTAAGTCCTTGTATACCTCACCGTTACCATCTCGAGGCAATCGTTTTGGAATACCAACAGACTCGCAGATGGCTGGCACGAGTCTCGATATCATATCTTTTTGCAGCTGGGTGAAGCCCAAGTATTGCCACACTTCGTTGCTCGTATGTGGTTTGCCTTCTTCAACAAGCTCTCGTCCGTCTCCATCTTTACCCGCATTGAGATGAATGGGGTTGGCGATCTCTATTCCAATTGATGTTTGATTGGCCCATCGCGCATGTCTGGCTGCCAAATCAACCAAATCCATTGTTTGATAGACCGTACCATCAGAGTCCAGACACAGTTGAACAGCGAGGTTGCGCCATATTAAAGTGTGGAAACAGTCGTGTGAGGAGTGTGCCTCATCCCTTTTAGATATTAGTCCTTGTACATGTAAATATAAATCGGAAATAATTCTTCAACACATTCATGTGTGACGAATACAACCTACCAGTGAAGTATAAGTTTATCGATGTTTTCCGGTCGAGGATCATCGTGCGGAGGGGTACCAGTGAAATCCGGAATCGCTTGTTGAACTTTTAGAAAACTAAGCCCTCCTGGTTGCAGCCAGTTCACAACCATAAATGGCGTGGGAACCTTTTTGCCTCCTACTATGAAATACTTTTCTCCTTTTGGACGCGTCCATTCGCGCCCTTCAAGAGCTGCTGATGTTTTCGGACCGAGTATCCCGTCGACAAGCAATAAGTGCTTTTCTTGCCATTGAGCAACAGCGATAGCAAGTTCATCCGAGGCAGATTCATAGGAATCGAAAGGTGCAGGAAACCCGCCAGTACCACTTGCTTTCAAGTAGAACAAGTTGCAGGCCTTGGCCTTCTCAATATTGTAACTGGGGACGGGTAACATTTAGTAGGTGATTCTTGCAAAAGTGGGCGAGCTTTCAGTGACGAGGAATTTCCCTAGCAAGTTCAAGGCATGAACAAGGCAGTACGAAGGACGTTGTTCGGAAATGTTTTATTTTACCATGAATTCAAGAGATCTGTATATTTACTGTCCAATCCATGTGTGCCACGCTAAAGAAGTGTAGCCTGCAGAAAGTACGAAAAACACATGGAGACGAGGGAGGCTCTACGTTGTAAGCCGCCACTGGCGGCCCGCCAGACTAACCCCCACTTCCGGAGGTGGTGGTGTAGCTTGGAGGGGATGATTGGATCAATATACTACGAGTTAAGGAGAACACGATTAAGAGTAACCTCGCACGATTAGTCCTCTTATATCTATCGATGGAATAGGCCTATAATTTAACATTTAATACAAGGGAAGAGGTTAGTAGAGGAAGATTTCCATTTTATTATGGAGACAACGCCCATAAACACGTCGTCGGGGCACCGCTCAAGATAACGCTATACTGTAACGAGGACGCGCTAGCAACGTGCGAACGAGCTTGTAACGTCTCAAGTATCCACCAGAACATGAGACATGATAAGAAAAGACCGATAACTTGCTATTCTATCGGTATGCAACGAAATACGGAGAACACCATACCTAGAAATAATTAAATAATACAATCTATCCGCTTCTTCTTCCTTGACGATAACGAATCATCGTGACTATTGGAAGCGTGGCGAGAGAATACTTTTATAAGTATCTACTTACTGCCCGCTTTTTCACATAAATATTCTTCTTCATAAGACAGCAGCAGCCCGAGAGCAGTAGCCCGAGTGTTATAATTATCCCATTGTTGAGCATAGTATAGCATCTGGAAATATGGGACTATCATCTATTCCCGCCCTTTTCAGGCGCGTGTTCTATGGAAAAGATAATGAGGATGCCAAATTGGTGCAGAAGATCGACTTGTTAATCATGACCTATGCATGTTTGACACAGTTTATCAATATCCTTGGTAAGTATTCGTTGCACATTGGTTTAGGAAAGCAATTATGATTAGTGCATGAACTTACTTTCTTGATAGATCGTAGCAACTTCTCCAACGCCTATATTAGTGGAAGTAAGTACTGATCCATAGCCTTGCTTTCCTCCATTGCTGACATTGTTCCTTAGTGTAAGCTACCCAGACCACTGAATTTATAGGGAAGCAAAATCTGAGAACTTACTCTTTTGATTATAGGAAGAAAGATCTTGGCTTCCACGGTCTCCAGTACAATTATGTCAATACCCTGTTCCTCGTTGGGTATACCATTGGCCAAGTACCTTCCAACATTGCGCTTACGTACATTTCGCCACGAATCTGGTTTACTGGAATGCAGTTTACCTGGGCAATCCTCTGCTTGGCTCAGTATGCTGCCAAGAACCCCCAAACAGTCATGGGTTTGCGTTTTATCATGGGTATGGCAGAGTCCAGCACTTTTGTTGGTATGCATTTGATATTTGGTTCATGGTACACACCCGCCGAGATTGGAAAGCGTGCCGCGCTCTTCACCTCTTGCGCACAAATTGGAAGCATGTAAGTCAGCGCAAGCAAAGATCCTTACTGAGATGACAGAAATAGCTGACTGCCTCTATAGTTTATCTGGTTTTATTCAGGCTGGGCTGTACGAGGTACGTATTGTAGTTTTGATTATGGTCGAGATAGATTTAATAAATATTACTAGCACATGAATGGCACAGCTGGCTTGAAAGGATGGCAATGGCTCTACATTGTCGATTTTCTCGTCACCCTACCAGTGATTGTCTACGGCTGGTTCTTCTTCCCAGACTTCCCCCACAACACCAAATGCGGTTACCTAAATGAAGAGGAGAAAAGCCGCTGCGTGGTTCGAATTCCTAACGAGCGAGTTACTAAGCCTGTATGGAATTTGGCTACGTTGAAGCGTGTATTTTCCAGCTGGCAGATCTATATATTCCCCGTAAGTTCCAGTCCTTCACAGTTGCGAAATACATAGATTAAGCATATTGACGGCCTCTTCAGCTTTTATTTACCTTGTATGGAACTGGACTTCAGATGACGGGCAACAACACCATGCCATTTTTCATGAAGCAGCATGGCATTCACGATGTTGTCAAGCTCAACTATTACCCGACAGGAATGACAGGCACTGGAATACTAGCGATGTGGGGATATGCCCTCCTATCTGACTGGTTAAAAACCAAAGTCCCCGCCTCTTTTGCTATTGGTGCGACTTTTATCATCAGCGGATCCCTTTGCCTGTCAGCTTCTGTCCCATTCGGCGGAAAACTGTTCGCGTTCTGTAAGACTTTTTCACAACTCACTTGACTGAGGTGAAGCTAATATTTGGCAGACCTCTGTGGAACTACCCTCGCACCACAAAGCTTGTGGTACTCTTGGGCCAATGTATGATGCCACTGCACTCGGATTTTAGAAGCACTGCTTATTTTATATACTAGGACCTTACACGCCACGATTTTGAACTTAGAACTCTCGTTAACGGCTTTATGAACACCATCATGGTAAGAAATCATAGTCTGTGAGTTAACTAGAAACATATATACTAATACCTTCGCGCTATACAGGAGGCATTTATTGCCTGGTGGCCGATTGTCTTCTTCCCAGCCGATGTTGGCAACTTCAACAAAGGATTTACTGCTACGATTATCCTCGGTGCACTCGTCATCGTTACCGTGGCTAGCATCTGGGTATTGGAGACGAAGACAAGGTATGTTAAAGATATTTAATGAATTCATAAGAAGTGTTCATTAACTGTTTTACAGAGCTAGTCGCCTTGTTTATATTGAGGACAACCTGGAGGCAGACAAAATTGATAATGCGGACATCGAAAACAAGCAAATGGAAGCTTCTGGGAAAGCTGTTGGAGATAAGGAATAATAGTATACTCGATTGTTTAGAAATGACTGACTATCATATACTCGCGCTTGGTATTATGCAAAAGAGAGTGAATATGAAGGGAATTTTATATTAACAGAAAACAATTGCATTGTAACTAGCTGTCTGAATACTTCACCAGCTATAAAGGTGCAATTCCTAGTGATTACATCTCCATAATCGAACGTAACACAGCAGCAGTAACAAGTGAAGGAATGCCAACAATGTCTTAATGAGCAGAATGATAGAGTTATACTCGATGACTTAAAGCTTAGTTAGGATAAAAATAGTAAAGCCTTCCTTTATAGAAGCATCAAGCAGTACCCTAGACCTCGACAATATTTTGTAGTGCCCAGCTTCTTACACCCTCTGTCTCGATTTGCTTTTGCGCGTTAAATGTCTGCTCCATATCCCAGGATACTCCTTTCCCCTCCGCAAATACAACCCTGTACTTCTGCAACACATCATCAGGATCCTCTTTCAGCCTAGCCTTCATCGCTTCAACACTCCACTCCTCTCTATGAACCTTCCTACTAGTAACACTCTCTACCAAATCAGCAAGTTCTCCGTAACTGATTGTTTCCCCTGCAGTATACACCACCTGGTTCCGGAGTCGGGGCTCAGTGAATAGAATTTCTGCCGTCAGCTTCCCGATGTCCCCGGGCGTTGTGACCGTTACTTTGTTCTTCCATCCTCCAAGCCCACGAACAATCGCATGGCCGGCACTCAAATCAACGACGCCAAAGGACGACTCGAACAAGAAACTGGTGAACATCCCGGTGCTGATAATCACCCACTCGGTTTTATCTTGAGCGCGAAGGAGATCCCGGACATCAAGCTGCTCTGTACCAGAGTTAGTACGCTACTATTTGTATGTTATATTGAAGTTGGATTTTATGCCAAAGTGCCAATAAGGGTGGGAAAATACCATCGAAGAGCGTTTGAGCACTACCACGACCGATAATATCGTAATCGACGCCGAATTGCCAGGGCACGAAGCGGGACACGCCTGCCTCAAGCACGGCGGTGCATATTTTAGCCTGTGAACCCGGGCCAGATGCAAAGCCCAAGCAAGATACAATCAGGTCGTACGGCTTGAAGAGTGCGACAAGTTTTGAGATAGATGATGCGGCAATATCGCCTGGAAGCTTGCTGTAGAGTTAGCGGCGGTTCTTGGAAATTATTTTAGTGATGTTTAGGGTGAGACTTCGGATAGGGCCTTTCTTCATCCATCTGACGGGAGTTTCGAGTTTATCTTGATCGCCTTCCATCAATGCTCACTTTGCCTAGCCAACAGCTATCAGAATATTATATGCAATCATGTCACTTACAAATGAGATATCGAGCGCGCGGAAAGCATCTAGCTCAGCGGCTCTACTCGGATTGGAAATCGTTTGCGGTCGGAGAAGGACGGTCAGCGTCGCGGTAGAAGGTCTGATCTTGGCAGCAAGAAACGTGAGCATTGGCGAGCCAAGCTCGCCGGCCCCTAAAACCAGGATAGATGTCATGTTATGGTGACTAGATGGGCAGAGGATGTTATTTAGAGGTTAAGAGGTTAAAGATATATGTATGGAAACACTTCTTAGTGTGCTTATAAATGCAGATAGAGGCCTAAGGCCTACAGTACTATGGTGGGGTCTAAATGAGCTGTTACGTGAAGTGGGATATGCAGTTAGCACTGCACTATACCTTATAAAATCGGACACTTCAATAAACTTAGACTATTATCTATTCTATAATACACTCTTTTATACAGATTATTTAATATATATATTTATACAATAATGAAACTATAAGTCAGATCCTAGTGTTGTTTTTCGGGGTAAGGATCTTGAATTGACTGCTGTTCTACAGTGGGAAGTACGCTATATATATAGGGCATATAGCTCAGTAAGCCCGCTGTAGCCTGGCAGGCTACAGCGTTAATGCTTAGTGTGTATCCACTATATATCCACTTCTAGGCTACAACACCTAGCCTAGAGTCCGCGGTTGTGTTGTCCATCCACAGTACTTCTGTAAAAACATTATTAGGATCTTTCTTTAGCCTAGTCTTCATCGCCTTAACACTCCACTCCTCTCTCCAAACCTTCTACCTAGTAACACTCTCTACGTGAAGTGAAGGTATGGAGCTAAGGTGGATCGCCCCTATAAATACGAGCGCTTCTACTTGGACATAACCGTGGTGAAGAGAATTGGCTTTATATAGTTAGCTCCTTGGGCAAATCCACGCTAAATCATAGTTATACGGGCAATCAAATATAGTTGGCTCAACTTCATTTTATATTTATAGATACAACAGTAATTAAAAGCATCGTCAAATTCATTTGGTAAGCGGTATCCAATACGATATATATTATGCTAAGATAAATCCTTCAACCTTTGTCAGGGCACCTTCAAATCCGAAGTTTATACTAATATAAACTCCTGAAACCCCGCAAAAGTGTCTTTCATATATATACCATAGTCACCTCCATAACGATCCACGCTCTGATTATGTTCAGAAGCCATTGCACGCAGTTCAACATCAAGACTAGTTCCTCCAGTTATATATTATGTTCGTAACGATAGGCTAGGAGCGTTTAGACTAATTACCTTGCTATGATTCTACACTCTTACTTAGGGAGCAGCTCGGCATAGAAGATAGCGAGCAAGATCAGGCCTCTTTTCTATAGCTAGTGGACGAGTCTAAAATCTAATCTCTTATTTCCGCCACCTTTCGTTGTCATATATGCGAACCTTTCATCCCCACTCATGGCGGCCCATTTCCTATCTCGACTTCGATTTCTCCGCACATAATAAAACTTGGTCACAAAATAAAGAGAGATGTTAATAGCCGTCAGGGATAATAGGACGGCGTTGCCTCTGTGGTATAGTGGTGCGTCGTCGGTGCGGTAGATATTTGCTGCTATGATTCCGGAGGTCTGCACCGACATATTGTACAATGCGGCGGAGACCGCGCGGCTGCGTACCGTGTTGCTATTTCTCGATATCCAGCCGACTTGGATTGGATGTGCTTTGATTTAATCAGCAATAATTACTTCGAAGTAATGACTTTGAGGGAGCCCGGAGAGCCGCTAGTAAGTACCTGAAGGAGAACAAAGCAGAGCCGTCATAACTGCCCATGCCACCCACTTATTTATCGAATTTATATCAATCACATTCATAAAAATGATAAATGGCAATACCCAAAGTTGCCCAATCAGAGCAACAAATGTTAGCTCCCCAAATATCTCTGCTGCATACGTCAAACCCAGCATGGTGATCACTGACAGGACTCGAGTTGGTATCACAAGCAAGTTGGTCTTGAAGGTATCGAAACCTATGTCCTTCAATGAAAGAGTTAAATAGTTGGACGGGGTGGACGTCGGTATTTGGAAAGTCAGGCCCAAAATGTAGATCGGCCAGAGATCAAAATCCGTTATACTTTGCCAGACTAAAGAGGCACTCAGAGACTCTCGGTTATGCATCGACGATTTACTGGGATCTTCTCGCAAGATCCGGTTCACCATGATTTTCTCCTCTCTGGGAGTAAACCAGCCAGAGGCACCTCGAAAATACGAGGCGGTTGATGTCGGGGACGAGGGCATGAGAATATAAGCGAGAATTCCAACGATGAGGGTTATGGATCCCTGAATATTCTGTTAAAAGGATGGTCATAAAATAGGGACGTGGCATTCTAAAAGCGAACCTCGATGAGAAAGAGCCATCGCCAACCAGACTGCCCTTCTATACCTGATATGTGAAGGATTCCAAAGGCAAGAAAACCTCCCAGCACATCTGTCAGAGCTGATGCGGTCCAGAAAAATGCAAGACGCAATGAGAGCTCGCCGTGCTTATAGAAGTACGAGAGATAGAGTATTATCTGCACAAACATTAACATAGGTTCGATAAGAGGAACAGGTCTTCTCTACTTCCGGAATGAAACCTCCCTGAAGCATTCCCAGCACAGCGCGACTTAAGACGAATGAAGTTCGTCCTCGCAGATAGAATTGAGCAGACCCAATTATTGACCAGACGACTATTTGTGTAGGTATCCATATATCTGGGCCGAGCCTTTTAGCAATGAGCTGAGACGGCAACTCAGAGCATAGAAAAGCTAATTTGAACGCAGTAGTGCCGAGATTAAAGTCTAAACAATTCAGCATCTATCCTCAGGACTCGAGAAATTCTCAATCACCATTGGTAGTCATCCCCAAATCCTCTAGAAATCTATCTGTCAACGCTTGAGAGATATTTGATCTGTCAAGCTCCATGGCCATAAACATTATACAAGCCCAGACCTAGAAGTGTAAGCTATGGTTCCATGATTATCAGAAAGGAATCACACAGCGTACCATGATTCTCTTATCAATCTTGCGGATGAGCTGATGCTCTTCACCCCATGTCCATCTCTCGTCCGGGTCAAATCGATGAGCATTCTCCCAGTCATCTCCAGGCCTATGCTGCTCTGCAGTTTCCGGGTCATCGAATACCGACCGCTGGGTCGCAATAGCATCAGGATCATACAGCCGAGCCTTGGATCTCTGAAACCAGAATCTTTTTTCTTCTCCAAGAAGCCCCAGTGCTTTCGATGGTCGGGGCAGCAGCGGCTCCCCATCTTTATCCAGATCCTCAACTCCAGACTCGCCCTGGTCCCAGTCATTTGTTCTCAGAAAAGTCGCGCCCGTCTGACTTTCAGAGACATCTCCCAATTCCAGACGCTGATAGCGCGGACCGGCATTCATGATCAAATTATCAGATTTACGGGCTTTAAGGAAGGAAGAGAAAATTATAGTTGAGTAAACAGTGAGAGAAGACACTCGAGATCTACTGTTCATGAAGTTATGGAAGACGGGGGTACGCATTTAGCGAGTACAGGGAATAATACAGCGTCTCATCAGGGATCATCACTTGTACGAAGTACCCTGAAGAACACGTCGGGTGCTGTACCCTGCCCTGCATGGGAGGTTGCATTTGTGACTCACGCCCGTGATTGCATTGCATTGCCTTGCATGTCGTGCTCGGCCGCCCCTAGTGACGTCGACCTCACCTCCATTTATTTCCTCCTGCTTTAAAGCATCCAAACAACAAACAATCGCAGAAGTGTCAAGCTTCGCAATGACCTCAAATTCTACCGACTACGCGAAAGGCCTGCACGCCTTCGGCCCTTCAGTCACCGGGCATTTCGATTTCACCCCTTTGTTTGAAGAATCCATCCTTTCCATCATCCCTTCCGCGCTGCTGCTCCTCGCTTTGCCATTCAGACTGTGGTCACTGCATAAGCAACCGCCGAAAATAATAACATCGGCAAGAGTTCTCTATGGCAACAAGTTGGTATGGAAGCATGTTGAGGAGTAATGAGGGTCAAATAACTGCTAATGTATCTCGATCAGGCCTTGCTGGTAGTCTTTGCAGTATTTCAAGCCGCAATACTGGTCCTCTATGCTGCCAATGCTAGTGTCAGGACTCCAAGTACAGTAGCTGCTGCTGCTTTGGTCGTCGCCGATGCACTTGGGCTGTTGATTTTGTCTCACGCGGAGCATTTTCGCTCTATTCGACCGTCCAACATCATCAATAGTTACTTGTTCATAACCTTGTTATTTGACATTGCTCGCACCCGAACCTTGTGGATTCAACATGCTCCGAAGCCCATTGCTTCAATCTTCTCCGCTACGGTTGCGGTCAAGCTCTTCATGTTAATTGCCGAGGCGATAGAGAAACGCAAAATATTGTCGCCCCGGTACGCAAATGCTTCCCCCGAAGCCACCAGTGGTATTTACAGTCGTGCTTTCTTTTGGTGGCTGAACGAGACAATGTCAACGGGGTTTCGGAGGGTTATCCACGAAGCCGACCTATTTCCTTTAGACGACGCGCTCAGCTCAATTGTTCTGAAAAAGGAAGCCGAGACTTCCTGGGGCAAGGTAGACAAGAATCGATCCCACGCCCTGTTGTGGGCGACCTTGAATGCTAACCGTGAGAGATTGGTAGCTGGTATATTTCCTCGCCTGTTCATGATTGGCTTTCGTTACGCTCAGCCTTTTCTTCTAGCGCGAACCATCGACTTTGTCAGCTCGAATGCGCCCGATAATATAGGCTGGGGACTTACGGGCGCTTTCCTTGTTGTATTCCTCGGAATGGCGATTGCAAGTGCACTATATTACCATATGTGTTATCGTTTTATCACTAGTCTTCGGGGGTCTTTGGTAACCATGATCTACACGAAGACTGTGGACTTGAACATTACTGCTCTAGATGAATCGGCGGCCCTCACTCTAATGTCAAACGATACAGGTGAGTACCCTTAGATATCCAAGCATTCTCACAGGATCACTGACAATTTAATCAAATCCACAGAAGTAGTATGTGGCGGCTTCCAAAACTTGCACGAGCTCTGGGCTGTACCTATAGAATTAGGTATAGCACTATGGCTGCTTCAGAGGCAATTGGGCCTGTCGTTCCTTGCTCCGGCCGGTGTTGCTATTATATCCGCGCTATGCACTGTGTGGATTTCCCAGTACATCGGGAATGCCCAAAAGATTTGGAACAAAGGCATCCAAACGCGTGTTGATGTCTCGACATCCATGCTGGGTTCAATGAAGGTATGACACTTGCATGTGAATACTCGTTATAGATGCTGAATGTTGCAAATAGGCTGTGAAGATGCTTGGGTTTCCTCCCATAATTACACAAATTGTGCAAGGACTTCGTGTCAAGGAGTTGCGACTTTCCTTTGTCTTCAGACGATTACTGACGGCTAGCGCCTTCTTTTGTACGTTTCAAACCATTCATGTTATACCTGGCTGCGCCTGCGTGACCTGCACTAACAACTAGTAGCAAATAACATGAGGTTACTTGCACCACTAGTGACATTTGTATTTTTCGTTCCGTTTGAGAACGCGCTCGGAAGAGAATTGAACGCGTCCACGACGTTCACAGCCCTCTCCCTTATTGCGCTGCTGAACCAACCTGTTGGTAACCTCCTCAGAACGATACCTAGTGTTAAGGCTGGCTTAGCTTGTTTCGATCGAATTCAAGCATACTTAAAATCGGAGTGCCGTCAAGTTCACGTCTTGGCACTCAATAATTCATCTACCAGCTCTAGTTCAGGCAAAGATCCCGTCTCGGTCATAGAGTTTGATGTTGAGGCCGACCAAAACATTCTACTTGAAGATCTTCAAACTAAACCACAAGGCTCTTCAGAGATAGTGATAGACGTTCGCAATGCTAGCTTTGGATGGAGTCGTACTGCTACTCCTCAAATCAACGATGTCACCTTTTCAGTTCATCGAGGGAATTTTGTATTCATCGTTGGTCCTGTTGGATGCGGTAAATCTACGTTACTAAAAGGTTTGATGAGTGAGACACCGTCACTCAAAGGTTTCGTATATGGCAATACGTTGGAAAGTGGATTTGGCGACCAGACCCCATGGATTCAAAACACCACTATTCGACAAAATATTGTTGGTATGTCTGCCTTCGACGAGACTTGGTACGCAGAGGTCGTCGCAGCCTGTGCTTTGGACTATGATATTGCAGCTCTGCCCGAAACACATGGTATGCATGCACATTCTGCCGTCTCATAACCATTGATAAGATTTGTACTAAACGAGATGCAGAGACGATCGTCGGAAGTCGAGGCATATCCTTGAGTGGTGGCCAAAAGCAGCGTGTAGCTCTTGCTCGTGCCTTGTACTCAAAGAAGGAGCTGATTATCATTGATGATTGTTTCTCAGGCCTTGATGCCGAAACAGAAGAAAGGGTATTTGTCAACTTCTTTGGCCAGCAGGGCTTTCTTCGAAAGTCGGAGACGACAGCAATTCTAGTCACCAATGCTGTTACACGACTATCATATGCGGATTATATTATTTCTTTGGATGCCCACGGGCAAATTGCAGAGCAAGGCACCTTTATGCAGTTGCAGCACGGTGGCGGCTACGTCCAGAGCCTTGCCACCAATCACAGATATGAAACCGAAGATTCGAGCGCGCCGACGACTAATGGAGATGTAGACAAGAAAGCCTTCACAGCACAGCCAATTCTTAGTGAAGACGCCATCAAAGCCAGAGCCAACATCAAAGCTCAGGAGGATGACTTAAGTAGGCCGGTCGGCGAATTCTCCACTTATAAGTACTATTTCAGCTCGATCGGGTGGTCGAGTACCCTCTTATGGTTGTTTTACACCGTCCTATCTGGAGTGGCAGCTAAATTGACCGAACTACTCGTCACATATTGGACTGATGCTCTGTTGGTTTATGGCACAGAAGTTAATGCGCTCTATTTGGGATTGTATGGAATGCTAGCTGGGATTGGTACGGTTTTCTGGACCGTCGCTTGCTACCATTTCTTTCTTTACCTAGTGCCGGTCAGCGCAGAGAAACTCCATGCAAGACTTCTTAGCACAGTCATGAATGCTCCTCTTGCCTTCTTCACATCTACAGATACGGGCGTGACAACAAACAGGTACGATATCCCCTTTATTCTGCCTGACGCGGCCACTAAAGTGCATATATGAGAACAGATTCAGCCAAGACATGTCAATCGTCGACCAAGATCTTCCCTTTGCATTGATCGATCTCGTTGTTGCGGTGGTTCAAGCAATCATGGGCGCAATCTTGATGTGCTTTGTCGCAGGCTACTTTGCCCTTACCTTGCCTCCTGTGATACTTGTGGTCTGGCGTAAGTGGCAGTCCTTACAAAATATCCCAAACGATGCTAATATGTGGTGCAACTGCCAGTACTCCAGAAATACTATCTACGTACTTCCCGTCAAGTTCGGCTTCTTGATCTCGAAGCCAAATCGCCACTATACTCCCACTTCATCGAGTCGCTTTCTGGTCTTGTGACTGTCCGAGCTTTCCAATGGTCAGACGCCTTCGTAGAGAATCATCTGGTCTTGCTTGATAATTCGCAAAAGCCATATTATTTACTTTGGTGTATTCAGAGATGGCTGGCGCTCATTCTTGACTTGATGGTTACGGTTCTCGCTGTAATTCTGATGGTGCTTATTGTCAAGCTTAGAAACTCCGTTGGTTCTGGATACGTTGGGTTGGCACTCCTGAATGTGATAAGTTTCAGTCAATCCTTAGCTTGGATTATCAGACAGTGGACCTCTCTGGAGACATCTATTGGGGCTGTTTCCAGACTCAAAAATTTCACTCGCACTACCCCGGATGAGAACCTGCCGGGCGAGAATCAGCTCGTTCCTGATGGCTGGCCCTCAAGTGGCGCTATCGAGTTCAAAAACCTGTCGCCTTCCTATACCATTGACGGACCACCGATACTCAGGGATATTAATATGTCTATCAATCCAGGAGAAAAGATAGGAATCTGTGGCCGTACTGGAAGCGGCAAAAGCTCGTTAATCATGACACTCCTTCGTCTTCTGGAAATTCCCTCGGAAAGCTCTAGTAAGCAAACCACTTCCACTTCGTACATGCCTCTATACTGGTGCAATACATCTTGCATACCGTACTGGCCAAACGTGTGATTAAAATTGTCCCTAATCTTATCTGTGCTTTAGTACTTGTCGATAACATCGATATCGCCAAAGTCGATCGCCAAATCATTCGCTCGCGGATCAACGCAATACCCCAAGATCCATTCTTCATAAAAGGGAGTATCCGACTCAATGCTTCTCCCAAGAGCATCCACAGCGACGTAGAGATAATCGCGGCTCTCTCGAAAGTCGAGCTATGGTCAACAGTGGAATTGAAAGGTGGACTGGATGCTCCACTAGAACAAGAATTCTTCTCTCATGGCCAGCGACAGCTCTTTTGTCTCGCCCGTGCCATTCTTCGTCGAAGCAGAGTCGTTGTTCTGGACGAGGTGTCTAGCAGCATCGACGTAACTACAGACAAGCTTGTGCAGCGCGTGATTCGGGAGGAATTCCGGGACGCTACAATCATTTCGGTGGCGCATCGTCTGGATACCATTCTAGACTTTGATCGGATTGCTTTGTTGAGTGATGGGAAGCTGGTGGAGTTTGAGTCACCAAAAAGATTGTTGCAGAGACCGAGTGCATTTAGAGAGTTATACAACTTTTGATCCAGGGAACTTTTCATGTTGGTATCTAGATTCTGAACTTTTTAGACAGATTATGTTGCAACGTATATCAAAGCTTTTGGGATAATTCCAACACATTCGTAAGCTAGCTAAGTGTCCGTTGTTATTAGGCTCTTACCCTTCTACATTCCTATGCTGTGAGAACGCTTAACATTCATGAATCTTAAACCATGCCAGAACAAATCCCTCTCATGTGAGTCTTGACCCACAAACCAATTTTGTCTCACGTGAAATATGAAGCATTTACATGCAGAATTTACAGCCCCTTGTAAATCTCGTAATTAGAGAATACACATGGGGTTCAACCCCGCGCCATCCCCTCCCCCTCTTTCTTTCTCTTGAGCCATTTTGAAGGAATGCCCGCAGCCCTGACCCGCTCAGATTAGCCAGCCCTCGCCTATCCCGCCCAATGCCCTGATAAATCTTCCACGTACATGAAGACCTCGGGAACATCTTGAGTCGGCAATTCTTTACCCCGCCCCAAAACACTGCAAGTCTCGTTGTAAGCTGCAATACACCCTGTGATTTCCTTTGTCTTTTACTGTGGGCTAAGGGCAAGTCTGAGTAATAGAATGCGAGGCCTTGAAGTGGAGCTTTAGGTCGGTTCTGGCTAGTACCGAGTAGTTGTTTGCTGAATCAAGAGCTGATTTGCGTCTATATGCGGTTCGGCCCGCAGATCTCCTACTGTACGTACGAAGTACATCTTTGCTTGGTTGCGATTGAAAGTCTAACAATTGCGCAATAACATGCTGGGCCTACTGTACGTATTGCAAGCGGGGGCGCGGCGCGGCTCTCTCCAGGCGGCCCGTCACGCCATCAGCGCGGGCCGGCCCTTTCCATGATGTGCTCTTTTATCTTTACGAAGTACTGTAGCTTTGCCGCCCCGCCCAGGTCAGCTCGCTCGCTAAGCATCCTGGATCGACAGCCCTGTGAAATGTATGCGGGTCTGCGGGTGCATCCTCCTCAAAACTAAGACCGGGTCCAGATAAACTATTAGGGTTAGCGTTACCGAGGTATAATGGGTAAGTATTATATAAATTTCAACTTAGTGCTTGCTCTATCTATTTCTATTAAGGTAGTCTTCCAAGTAAATAAAGCCTATTAGCTAGAGCCCTATAAGCACTGCTCTAATAGGCTTAACAGATACACTAGAACCCCTGTTCATTTGGAATTTGTATAATCCTTAACCGCTGCACCTCCGTAGAATGTAGGATAGTGGAGTTTCCGCTTTCATTCAAATTCAGGGACTATTCGATCTGCTTGTCAGCAGGTACACGCTATAAGAGCTATTGGTGTTTAGTGACTAGGCTCTCGCATACTTTGGCTGATTTAGGCACTCCGATAGATGGATTTCGATGGCGTTACCCATAGGAACAATTGCAGCAAGCCGGCCTTTGATCGAGTGCATTGTGCAAGGAGTCCACTTACCATAAGCTTCGAACTAACAGATGTGCGTTGTCTTCTCGACAAGATCGTTGTCTCGGTGTTCAACGCCCCCCATACCTAGGATTCCAATCCACTGCAATCTCACAATCTGCATTCTAGGTAGTTTGGGAAAAGTTCAATGTCAGACAGGCTTGCTAAAATGTTCACCCCTTTGGTCCTGTCTTCCGGCAAAAAGCATCCGTACTTGCTGTACGGAACCGGCTTCAAGAAAGAACGGACAGGAGCGCTGACAACACTGGCCTTGCAACATGGCTTTGAAGGAATTGACACGGCCAATTACCCATCCGCATACGAGGAAACACTTACCGGTGATGGTATCATAAAGTCTGGGGTTAACAGGAATGATATTCTTGTAAGTCGACACATTATATTGCTTGCGCTGATACTAAATAAGCTGTCTAGATTCAAACGAAATTCACTCCTCAATACGCTCACGAAGAGGGCAAACTTCCGTACAATCCAGATCAACCTCTCGAAGCTCAAATCCGGGAATCCATTGAGCAGTCTTTCATCCATCTGAACGTCTCCCACATCGACTTGTTCCTACTTCATGTCCCATTCGAAGACGAGGCGGATAATCTTCTTGCCTGGAAGGTGTTTGAGAGCTATGTGCCCGCCCGCATCTCCACGCTAGGCGTATCCAATTTTCCTCTTCCTGCCTTCGAAAAACTCTACGATGCTGCCACCATCAAGCCCGAGATTGTCCAAAACCGCTTCAACGCCAACCGCGGTTACGATGTTCCTCTTCGTAACTACTTGGCAGAGAAAGGGATCATTTATCAGGCCTTCGCGCTGCTGAAACCACCGAATAAAGACATCATCTCCTCGGAAGTGGTTGCTCGGTTTTCCAAGGAGTTCAACGTCGCAAAGGAAGTAGCCTTTTATTTATTGGTGCTTGGACTAGGCAAGATATCCATTGTCAATGGTACGACAAGTGAGGAACACATGAAGGTAGACATCGAGAAGGTTCAGAAGCTTCTTGGGGATGAGAAAACCGTCGAAGCGATTAAGGTCTATTTGTCAGAATTTGAGGCAAAGCTGATTGAGCTGTCGAAGTTGAAGGAATGATTGTAGTAGGCTTCTGTCTTTTGGCCGAGTAATTATCTCTTGGGTAGAATATGATTGAAATAGAAGCCTCTAGCATTGCTTGTATCCTGTCTTTTCATCACAATAGGCTCTCACTTCGAACATTGAACATACCAACGTACTGATATACTCACGTGCAACGCCTTCAACGCCGCACGTGTAGTCATTTGTAGCGTGTAATCTTTTATTAATTATTTACGTAAATTACTCAACCCACGAGTTGAGTGTGGGTTGGTATAAATGCTTAATCTCTCACATACTTTAAGTCTAGGTAATAGATTTTCAATTTCTGTCAGTAAGTTGAGTAAGTTGAGTAAACGAAAAGTAGGTATTAAAAGTGTACATTAGATTAGGGTAAAGAGTATGTAGTCAATTTTTTGCTTCAAACTTTTACTCGAAGTTTTTATTTCTGCTCCCTAATCAACATCAACCAAAACATGGCATTACCTCGTTTTGGAAATTTGCTCTGAAAAGTTACATTGGAACCTGATGATCTCCGTCTGTACCATCTACAAAACTCAAATGTTGATACCAATTCGCCCTCTCATGTACACGCTAAGCAGAATTATGAAGCTAAAACCACCCCCAAGAATACCCAAGACAATTAGAAGCTGATTCATCCACGATATGGTAGATATCGGCATCTGAGCTAGCTGCAATTTTCTTACTTTATCATTTAACTCGTCCCAGTCTTGCGGCTCAGGACCGGCCTTTGGCATCGGCAAATCATTATATTTCACCGCAAATTCCGGCTCAATTTCTTGACATGACCATTCATCACAGCGAGCAGCCAACGTACCGCCGGGAATCCATGTCAAGACAACGGAAGAATTGCCAAGACTGCTGCCATTCGCAGCCACGGCCACTGCCAAAGCCCATTGGAAATATACCGGAGTCGCGAACGTGGTTTCGAATCCTGTTCTTTCTTTAGAGCCCACTAGGATAAAATCGCGCCCACCTTCTGAAAAATTCCCAACATAAAATTTCCACGCTCGAACCTCCGTTGCGCCATTCCAACTGACGTAGAATACCGTCTGTGATTGCTTCGTAAGTGCGTAAGTCCAGAGGGTCGGGGAATCTGAGGGGTTTCCAACCCACTCTTGCTTGAAAGCCCGGTAATTTTCACCGAGTCCATCAAATGAGGCATGGAATATCAGAGTCCCATCTTCGAGATACTCTGACACATAAGCTTCAGAGCCCCAGCCTATGAACACATTTTTGTTTTCGAGTACTTGCATGGATCCTTTACTTGACGCACTGTAGGTATGACACGTTAGTTTACTCTAATTTGATGAAGGAAATTAACACAAATTTGCTCTTGTGCTAAGTCTGACACTTAGTTGAGCCTTTTAAGAGCCAAAACAGCTATACCTCAAATTCTCGTGGGTTCCATATTCTCTTATCAAAATTGCCGCAGAAGATATGTGGTCGATGGCGATGACCATTCCCAAGGAATTTGGCGATTGCTTTGTCCGCGCATCATTGCCATTATCGAACAGGGAGAGCAAAGTGTGTGTTTGGTTTTCCTGTTGAAGTTCAGTAAACCTGCGGCGCATCAAAACCGACGAAGAAAACACGAACCGAGATCCATCGGGCATCATGCTGGCCCAAAGTCTGAAAACCGACAAGTGTAAAGGTCGAGTCTGAGCTCCCCATTTGCCAAATTATACTTCCATCAACTCCCGATATCTTGTATACCGAGTTTGTATGGCGCGCGCTCACCAGATAATCACCGTTCCGATTCTTTTCTACGCTATTGATATGAAAAAAATCGTACGAAGCTGCTTCACCTGCGACAAACATTACGGGCCTACTTGTAGCATCGAGAGGTTTGACGTGATCAAGAGAAGACCACTGGAACAGGACAGAACCCGTTTGAACGTCAATTTCCTGGAATAGACCATCTTCGATAAGCTGAAGGGCTTGCGGGTTCTCGAGACCTTGGAAGTCATATGGCCTTGTTCTGCAATTCGTTACTAACGCCTTTCGGCCGTTCTCGATAAGACGAAACTCGTGCGGGTCAAATCCCTGCATTGAGTGAACGATTTTCACGACCTTATAAGTATCATCCAGGATGACCCCGTAGCCACGACCGTGACCGAAGCTCTGAACTCCGTCAAAGTAGCACAAGTGTCTGCCAGCCAGTCCGTCATAATCGCAAACATTGAAACCGTACGCGAGGGACTGAATGCCAGATCCCCAAATGAGCTCCTGCCATCAGAATCAGCAGGATGTCCGGAACTCCACGAAGGGATACATACACCATGGGAGTCATAGATATGCGCTCCTGATTGGTAAAAAGGTGATTGAGGGGCAATAAATATATATCCTGAGCTCACTTCTTCACTCCGGAGATGAATATCAAGTATTGGAGCACGAATATCTGGCCGCTGATATCAAAAGTTAACCTATGAGCTTCTCTTTTTAGGACGCGGCACCTACTGAATAATATCGTGTGGTGAGCTGCTGAGTACCAAGCTTATTGAAGCCTATCTTAACTTTCTCAACATGTCGGTTACTGACAGTATCCAAAACACTACAGGCGACAAGAGTGAGGCAAAAATGTGTTTGGTGGTAGTGGTTTAAACGCATTGTTGGCCGCAGAATAGGAGGTGCTACGTCAGTATGATTTTCAATTTTCGATTTGCTTATTGGACACAGTCTGGGGCCCGTCTTGAAGTTTCCTCCTCTTCTTTATAAGGGACTTCAGCGGGGCGGTTCCACATTTACTTTACTGCATAAGGATTGATTGGACCACAAGCATCTATGATCACCCGATTTGGGTGGAAAATGGGATATGGATGATTACGCAAAATTTGGAGCACAGTTTGGGATAGCTTTCTAGCTGTTTTATTGAAAAATGTACCCAAGGGAGCTTCTATGTTATCTCAAAATGCTGCTGCCGTAGTGCTTTTCGTACGGAATATCGAACACTAAAGCTGTTTTGAGTTCCAGGAAAGTCTATACGACTGAAGAATGCTTTAAGGTAACAGTAGAGTAAGCTCCTGTCTATTTAATTCGCTATGTACATTATGATGGAGAGTGGAAGCGCCAAACATAGTCCAATAACAAGGTATCTCAGTAAGCCATTTGCGATCTGCCTCCTATTTCGAGACTTGCAACGAGACACAAAGCTCTCCACGTCATTTGAACGAGGGAAGTCCTCAGTTGGCTTTGATATCCCAAGAAAATCGCAAAGAGGACCCCATCCTTGTGTGACATTATACTCTAGCAAATTGTCCGCGGGCACAAGACCGCGAATCTCTTCGTAGTGCCTGTGGAAGATTGCCTTTCCTCTATTGGGAAAATCGCCCTCAAAGAATGTTTCGAAGAAATTTTTGAGCATCGGATAATAGAGACCAGCTCCCCAATCCACAAAAGACGCAAGTCTTAGCTCGGGGTCTTGAGAACGCCAGTAGACGGTCTTTAGCACAGATGCATGCCAGGAATTGACATCTCTGGATGGCAAAATTACCTTCGCCTCTGGATAGATGGATAGCAATTCTTCACTGAAGGCGATTGCCGGCCAGTCACATACGGCCTAATTACTTATTAGCATTTTATCTAGTTTACATTATGGGCTTGCTAATGATATGTAGCGGCAACATGCTCGTAGTTGCAAGTTAAAACTCACTTGACAATGGCCAAGAAGCTGGTCCCATTCACATTTCCCAAAAGTTCCTACCCCATGATACTTTGCTGCAAAGGCTTGCTGCCATAACAGACAATCGAGTGGATTCTCCACGCTCGCACTCATCATATGATATGTATCCATATACCCTATTTCCACGTCAGTGATGAGGACTTCAGAGAGGCAGGCAACATCAACCCAACTTCTTTAAGGCTTCCCTTATGGCTGATTACGTTCGTTAGTAATAGCTGTTGTGCAGGTTGACGATGCTCACATGCTGTGCCTGTTCTCCCCATTCCGAGAACCAATACTCTCATAGGCACTATTCGACCTCGTTTTCTTCGATCAATCGTCAGGTCTTGGGGAGTGAAAATATCGGTAATAGGCTTCGATGGATATGGAGATAAAGACATGGTGGAAATAGTTGCTCCTCAGATGCTACAAAGAAAAGATTGCATCTGGAAAGGACTTAGAGCGTCTTCTCTCCAAGGTGAATAAGGCCAGAACACCTGATATCCTCCCTCTCTGAACTTCAAAGCAGTTCATCACATGCTGGTCGCTCTCCTTATCCATTGCAACCAAAATCGTGTTCCGCAGCATCATACCCACAGATTCAATTCTTCTGTCATGGTCGGAAACAGCTGTCCAGGGTTTCGAGTGGTGGAAGTCCGGCTCAGTATGCACCTTCGCGCCATCTATGAACCCACACGACTTCAGTCCCGGGAATGTTTCCCATTTCGACAAAATACTGATCAGTACCATTTCGGTGCCGATCCTGTGACATTGCAATGCAATAGAGTACGTGTTATCCTTTTTTTACGTGTTAGTTCTTTTTTTACGTGTTATCCTTTTTTTCGTTCCGAGCTTCTCACCGTCCTTTATAAATAAGCTCGCCATCATGTCTGTAAATTTCGCCATCCTAAGCAAGGGCATATTTTTTCCACACCCCCACCCCTGTTCATATCTCGGCCACTTTCGCCTAATTTAGTAATGTACAAATTCTAAATAAACAGGAGTTTTAGTGTACGCATACTTACAGGGCTCCAGCGTAGGATCTAAACCTATTAGGGCTTTGTTTACTAGGAGGACTGCCTAAATGAAGATAGACAGAGTAACCACTAATCTAAAGTTTGTATAATACTTACCCGCTATACCTCCGTACATGCATCTGTGCCCAAGATGACCCACTACCATCTCGAACTTCTGATTTTGTGTTTCGACTCGTCAATAGCTTCCTGCAACTATATGCATTGTTGCTGTGCATAGGTGGCCAAGAGAAGATCGCTTTCGCAAGCTCAGGTCAGCTGCCCTTTACTATTCAGGAGGGCATGGATGACCAGAAAGCCGGTTTGATAGTAGTCGCTCAGCATTCAACTGTTCCCATAACGTGGGCAGAGTTCCAAAACATCCTCAGGGTTAAAGCCTACCCTCCTGAATCTTCGTTTTCGAACATCTTTGAATCTCAGCTACTTGTGACAATGTCGGATTCAGAGTCACGGGCTTCCTCAAGGCCCGCCTCATGGCGAGGCTTGCCTCGTAAAGATCAGCTTGCTGTTTTGGCTGTTTGCCGTGTGGTTGACTTCCTACAAATTGCCTCATTCCAAACAATTTCCTACTATCAACTGAAGTCCTTCGATCCATCATTGCCGGAAGAAACCTTGTCTTGGCAGACGGGAGTCTCTCAGGCCAGTTTCACTGCAAGTCAATTCTTTACGGCGATACTATGGGGATATATCGCCGATAGCAAATGGGCCGGGAGAAAGAAGGTTTTGCTTTTTGGTCTTGTTGGTACAGGGCTGTCGTGCTCCGCGCTCGCGTTTTCAAAGCATTTCCTTTGGGTGGCTGTGTTCCGCGCGCTCGGTGGTGCTTCGAATGGAACTGTTGGAGTTGTGTTTGTAGCTCCTTTATGCTAGAGGAAGAATTAGAGCTGACAGCACAAGTCGAACGATGATCTCGGAAGTGATCAAAGATAGGAAGTATGTCGTGGAGCGCAGATACACGTTAATTTTCTCCCGTTTTATACGATACTAATTTCTCCATTAGGCACCAATCTCGAGCATTCCTGCTTCTTTCCGCAAGCTTTGCTCTTGCAACAATCATTGGCCCAGGTAAATTGTGGCAATCGAATTCCTTGCCGCAACATACTCATGTCTTACAGTTTCAGCTGGTTGGTTAGCTGATCCTGCAAAAAGCTATCCACGGCTCTTTGGTGAAAGCAAGTGGCTCCAAGCTTATCCTTACGCATTGCCATCAATTTTTAGTGCTAGTTTGCTCTTTTTGGCCTCGATTGTTGTACTTCTAGTTCTCGAAGAAGTATAATCACCATTTGATGATTCCACTATGCCCAGCTCACCTGAAATAGACTCACAAGGACTTCGATGCAAAATCTGATACGGGTACTCGTCTGGCCAACTACTTTTATAGAAGAGTTACCGCCAAGAATACGTCTGAGAATGGGGGCTACATTCCTGTGGCAAGCGATGAGGCAGTCCCTTTGACGGTTACGACGAATTCTGAAGACGACACTAAAGATATAGGAACGTCAATCCACAGGCAGAATCCTGCGTCTCAGCTATCATTCCATCGAATTTGGACATCCAACGTTCTTTTGACCATGTTGTCTCAAGCTTTTTTTGATTTTCATTTAGGGTCAGCTCATTTCCGCTTACCGTTGTTGTTACACAAATGTTCCGTATCAGGCAAAACCTTATTTCAACGACATCTCTTATGTATCTTCTTGAACCCCACCCCCTACCCCCAATCAAACAGTCTATGCGACTAATAATATAATATTGTAGCGCTTTTGGTAGCATGTGGCCTCTTCTACTTTCCAGTCCCAGAGATTCCAATATCCCATTTCAGCAATTTTCTCTCAAGCTCCGGGGCGGTCTTGGAATGGCTCCCCAGCATGTTGGTTACGCAATGGCAATAATGGGTTTTGCCGGTCTCATTTTCCAATTCTTAATTTACCCAAGAGTTCACAGCCGAATCGGGACATTGAAATGCTATCGTGCATTTGCGCTCTCGTTTCCTCCTGTTTATGCCATGAGTCCATTCCTAGTAACTGTTTCTGGAAAACATACGGCAATCACTTGGTTCTATATCGCCTTTTTATTACTGATCCATATTAATGGGAGGATATTCACCATACCGGCTTCAATAATGCTGTTAAACAATTGCTCGCCACATCCTTCAGTGCTCGGTGTGGTGCACGGCATTGGACAAGCTACTTCGGCCGCATTCAGGACGATTGGGCCTATATTTGCGGGATATTGTAAGTCCAATTGCAGCCTATATCCATTCACTTTAACTTATGAAATTATGTAGTGTATGGCATAGGCTACGTGAAGGGAGTCATTGAGATCAGTTGGTGGTCAATATCTGCATTTTCATTAGTAGCGTGGGTTGCATCGCTCTTTGTACGAGAAGGATCGGGGCATGAGATTGTTTTGCCTGGTGATTGGGAAGTTTCGGACGATTAGTTCTTGGAATTGAATCATAATTGGTGTTCTCAGACCTGACGTTTGGAGTAGGACAGTTCGCCAAAAAGAAAAATTGCATTTCTTCTGGCAATAGATTGGAGATTATGTAGCAGCTACAATGGAGGAGTCTTTTGGTATTTCCTAGCCTGTTACACTTATTGATCCTGCATAGACGTGACTGAATTCAAAATGCCACCAGGCACCCACTCCTCAAATCACATGACTGTCTATATGAACATGCTCATCCGGTGCAAATGCATTCGTAAGAGGCCAATTTGCCGGTTTTCCAAATCTTACATCGCGGCACTCCGGATAATTGACCGTCCCTTCAGCATTCACTGTTTCCGGTCCAATTTCCTTCTCCAGGATGACTACTTGGCAATGTTTTGTATGTGCCCAATTATCCAAATGTGAATCGATGTATCCCCTCTCGCCGTAGGCGCGATGCATTTGCATCCACATGTAGGTACAGTGTATGACATGCGTTTCCCAAGTAACGTGGAGGTTCATTTCCCCCTTGGCAGCGACTTCTATTGGTACAGTCTCGACGGCAGTGTTGTTTGTCCAAAATATGATCGGATGTTTCTGGTGTGACAAGAAGGCGTCCATGAGCGGTTCATCGTAGCATTCGGGGGTTTGCCAAGCGAATGAGAGGATGTCAAATGAACAGTTACGATCTCGTGCTTGACCTGGAGTGCTACCGCACGTTGTGTACCTCTGGGGGGTTTTGGATGGCAATATAGGCGAGTATAGGTTGCCCAGGAGACTGTGGGTAATGAGTGAATAATAGTTGGCGAGAGCAAGACTGAATGTACTGGCAAGCAGGAAGGTGGTGAAGAAGAGAAGGCATGCTCTATGTTTTGATTTTGGCAGAGAAGATGGGCGCAAATGCCGTGCTGCTTCAACTGGATGATTACCATCGTCAAGATCTTGGTATTGCTGAATTGAAGCCATGATATTGTGATGTTGAGCAGAAGCTGGCTCTCCTGAGAATCTTTAGAGACAATTCTTTTCTTTCTTTAAGTACAAGTAAAGAGAATCAAGAAGTCTACTGTGAATCTCAAAACCTCGGGGGATGTTATTGACCCTGACGGCTTGTGGCGGAGTAGCCTAGCAAGTTTGGCTGCCCTGCAAGTACATGAAGACCATGTATGAATTAAATACGCGCAAACCCTCTGACAGCCCAACTTTCCTCATTGCTATAACGAACGAGGAAGAGATATACAATGGGGAACTAATTGAGCTGCATGCATAGCTCCTCTGCATGATGATTTGTTCGGAGCAGACGACGCGGGACGGGGCGGTAATTGGTTCGGATACCGGTGCTCAAGAGGAACAAATCTTGCGCGCAAGATATGCAGGAGTAGTTCCAAAGCAGTCATCGGCCAAAACGTCTAGATCGAGCCGAGAGCTGGACCAGAATTTAGTCGCTAGGAGAACCTTTATAGATTAGTCTCGTATATAGTTGCAACGGAGTGATTGGGAGGGAAGCGGGGCTTATTGCGGACTCTCGCTATCGTAAAAACCGTCTTCTGAAGAAGGGTAAGTCACCCACCTCTTCCAGTAATTCACCAACCTCTTCTAGTACTTCACCATTGCGCCCTTCGTCAACACTTCTGCAGATTGATTTGTCTTCGAGATCATAAACACATGATGGCAGTCAAATGGCCCAGCGCTCTGTATGTAGTTGGAGCAGTCTTACTACTCCCCTCAATTGTCTCCAACTCTATGCTTTATCGCAAACAAATTCTGAGTATCGTCCTTACTCAATTCCCACGCCTTAATGGCAACCTTTTAGTCAACTCCCCGAAACCAAACGACAACGACTGGTTTGGTTCCATGACGAAAGAATACGAGTTGGCATGTCCGGAGCAAAACTTTCGTCCATACATCTTTACTTTCGATCCGCTGATCATCTACCTGGAGAACTATCTCAGCTATAGGGAAACGAGATATCTCATTCAACTAGCGTAAGGGTTCTATTTCACGCCCCATTTCTGAGCCATATATTATCTATACTTATTCACAATTAAATACTGATGTTCAGTTCAGAAAAAACAATTACGAGGTATCTGGCCTTGCGAAAGACTACGTGGCGGAGAAGATCGTAGATCCCACTATCCGTTCTTCCAAGTCCGCTGTGCTCCCCGAAGATCCATTAGTCTCGTGCATCGAAAGGCGATCCCTTGACTTCCAAGGTTTCCTCCCAACTTCTCAGATTGAAAATCTTCAAACTGTCAAGTACGAGACGGATGATCTTTTTCGATCACATTACGACTGGTTGAATGGTGTAGGTGCCGACGGGAAGGACAACCCCCGACTCTCAACAATCTTCGCCTATGTCGAGGCCGATAACGTTATAGGCGGAGCCACCCAATTCCCGCGAATTAAATTTAATTTCCCCGAGGCTTGGTGCAAGTTTATAGATTGTCATAGCGAAATCGCAAAGGAGGCCGAGGGAGTGGGATTTAAGCCAATAGTAGGTAATGCTGTCCTTTTCATGCAGTATTATGCGAATGGAACAGGACACCCGGATGTATTGCATCAGGGAATGCCTGTGAAGCTGGGACCAAGATTGGAATGAATATCATGACGAGGCAGTTCCCCGGGTACTCGCATGATTTCTAAGGCGAAATGTAGTGGGCGCAGAAGTGGATGGGTTCATGGTTGATTGGTTCCTGAGTAATATATCAAACTACTATCTTTCGAAGAGTGCCAAATATCTGCAAGTGAGGTTCCATGTGTTTCAGTTCTTGTCGAAATATGTAATTTTTTCTCTACCTTAGGTCTTGTATAAGAGTCAAATAAAGCCGGGAGGGGGGTTAATGAAAAGAGGCGCTCTATCGGACTTCTAGTTGGAAACAGGGATTTGTAAGATATAAGTTCTCTAACTACTTTCTTAGACTCACCAGTGAGTGACAGAACTACGTGCACACGGGCCTAAGTCACTAGAAAAGTCTTCTCAAAATAGTTATATAAAAGCAGCTTCTCCTATTTTCTTTTGTAATTCTTCTTATATCAAATTTAGGATTTTAATCTATGTACTTAGTATTTGCTCTATGATGATATTCCTCTACTGAATGGGAGGGCTGCTTTGAGTAATTAGTTAGACCCTCTATTATAATATTAAAGCTTAAGTTAAAGATCGTAGTGTGATATTTTCTGAATACCTATATAGCTCCCCCGGAATTCTCCTTCATCAGTTAAACTAAGCCCGCTATCCACCTTTGGTACTATCATGTTCCTTCACATTCTCGCCACCACAGATATGTCACCAAGCATAACCTACTCGGAGTTATCCTCGTCTCTCTTTAACTTCTTGAGACCCCAGACACCAGCAACAGGAGCGCGGTCTTCAAGCTCAGCGTCCCTCTTCTCCTTCTTGAGACCCCAGACACCAGCAACAGGAGCGCGGTCTTCAAGCTCAGCGTCCCTCTTCTCCTTCTTCAGACCCCAGACACCAGCAACTGGAGTACGGTCTTCCAGTTTAGCATCTCTTTTCTCCTTCTTCAGGCCCCAAACGCCTGCGATGGCATCACGCTCCTCATTTGAGAACCCACTGACGCTGCGGCCTTCAACATCGCGTTGGAAAGGCAATTCGGGAAGAGCGCTGATGAGAGCTGGGAGAAGAAGGGCGAGAGTGAGAGTGACCTTCATCTTGCTCGTGACTAGTATTAGAATATGAATAAGTAAATCTTCTGCGGCGTTCCAACTTACAGTGATGATGGGATGTATGGTAGCTGATAGAGATGGCTGGCAGTGTTTAATTTAAGAATGGACTGGAAAGTGGAGTGCCGAAAAAGGATTGATGCTCGAGTGTCAGGTAGCAAGTGTGGTCTTTTATAGCATAAAAGTTCTCGAGAGTCAGATATGGTAGTGTGGAAAGAGCTTAGTGGCATAGATGACTATAAGGGAGGTGGTGCCGATGGCTCAAAGTAAACCATGACTCAGAGCCATATAACAGGCTCTTGGCACACGAAACTGCACTTTACTACCACAATGTCCTCGTCCCGATTTGAGTGCGTCCATAAACAATACGGATGTTTTCCTCAAAACAGCAACCAGGACCCGTAGGCCTGACACGGAAGTATACTACGACTACAGACTAACTATACGTAAGTCATAAGCACTCGTGTATGCGAGACCCAAATTTCCAGACGCAGCGTTTGCATTTTATGTAGATAGCAGCCCGATATGGTACATTGCTAGACGAAGATCGACGCGTAGTAGCAAGGGTAGAATGTAGCATGTGTTCTTCATCCGCATGAAAGTCTGTGAAACGAAATGGGTGTGCCGTGTCAGCTGCTTCTGCTGGGGTGGCAGATGACGGCAGGAGTAGGTGGCTCTTTTTGTGAATTGCGGCATAACGTGCAGAGAATGTGCAGCAGACTCGGTCACGGTTGCTCTTTATTGGCCCTGGGATCTTCAACGCAGTATCGTTTTAAGCACTGCCGATCTATCGACGTCGAATTCATCATAGACTGTGGTAAGTATGGGATGATCATATTTTACGGTCGATAAAACGATAGAGATTTCGTTATAGTGCAGTGGTGAAGAATACACGATGACGGCATTGAAAATTCTTATTTTGGCAGCTTGGTTGACCGAATCTCGCAACAATGTAGATGAAGTCAATATCAGTTGAAACTAGCTGCGAAGGAATGAGATGTTTCAAATCTATCTACTAATCGTCGAAGCTATTCTGTTTTGCTGGAGTGTGTGTCAGGATTTCTTCCGGAGGAAATCCCGAATCTCTATTTTTCGTCCACCTATTCTCATACGCCCACGAGAACATGAGATCAAAGTCACGACATTGATGTGTTGCTCCCATCCCATCCAAAACATCCTGACTATTCATGCTTTCGAATGTCGCATCACCGTGGCACATAAGTGCCTGACGGATGTAATCTAAACAGTGGTCTTTGTGTATCGCTACTTCTTGCTCTGACATGTTGACTACCGCTCCCGGCCAATATGCCAATCTTAGAAAGTTCTGAAAAGAAACATTAGAAGTAGAACCAGAGATGAACAAATAATGGACTTACCAGACAGTGGAGCTGGTGGAACATAGAAATGCCATATCTGAAGCTACCAGGTTCGTCTGTGTTCTCAATCGAGGGATGTAGGTCTTTCGCAAATTCTTTAGGGATGGAAACTATCCCATCGCCAGCTGAAGAATAACAGAATTAGCAGGATTTTAAGGCGCACCGTGGAGGACTCACGGGGTTCAAGCCTTCGCCACATTTCATTAGTAGTATTAGATGGTGGACCGCCATAGTACTTATGAGGCTGGAATGTAACACGACTTGAATACCGCACTGCTAATTGTTACTTTCAACCAACTTGTTAAGATCAGGAAGAACCCACAATCGGGCTCAAACTCTTGCTGGCCAAGATCACACTGAAAGTGTTCCAATTGGGAATACACACGGGCCCATACGATGACAGCAGCCGTGAGCAAGAATGCGCTGCAAATCAAGGCGTAAGTAGGACCAGTGATTGCGCGCAGCCACTTGGGCATCAGGGAGGAGGATCTTGGCCAGATCCTTTTCTTCTGTTCGAGCAGAGTGTGCTCTTCGTAGGTGTCCGAAGAATTTCTCGACTCGAGATCACCAACCTTATCAAGTGACGGAGAACTTTTGCGTGAGATAGTTGACATTGTGAATGCGTGCAGCTCATAAGAAGATTGAATTAAGTTCAGCCGGAAGTTGAGTTCAAGTCGAGAACGAAAGTCGCAGCTGGTTCGCGTTTACAAAAGGGGCCGATAATAAGCGAGACAGGGTGCTGTAAATCTTACCCACCTAACGTACCCACCAGACTTTGTAGGCTGCTTCAAGTCATTCTTCGCAAGCCAGCTAGCCCTAAATGGATTAATCTTCTTTTCGAATAATTTTTATAGCATAATTAGCGGCTCGCATAATTATTAATAATGGATCACTTTCAACGGTGAAAATCGGGCTTCACTCCTATTCAGCGCATGTCCAATTCCCAACCACTACATTTTTCTTCCTCGAAAAGTTTCCTCTTCGCTTTTAATCATTCTGATATAATCCTTATCCATTATGTCCTTCTTCAACCCACGGAAAGTAAGTTATCATAAGCTCTCATGCAGCGATGTCAGTCTTGCATCGTCCTCTAAAAATGCCAAGTCTGGACCGTACAAGCATCTCCTAGCCACAGTTCTTGCCTTGGGTTGGGCAGTTACCCTCATCCTATACTGGCATTTGAGCATTTCAACACGAAAACCGTTGACGCCCATTCCTCTGGGCGTGTTTCGGCCAATTACCAAAGTGTTCGAACATAATGAATGGTGGTCTGGAATGTCGGCAGAAACTCAGGATCACTGGAATGCACAGTTTGCAGGTATTTGACTCCTCGAGCTTGGATAGGCCTGACTGACACATGATGCTAGGGCATGGGGCTCTTTGGGTTGAGCATCCAGAGAGTTACGGGCTTGAGAATGGAATAGTTGCCGAGTTTGATCATCCGCACAAGGATGAAATTGATGAGGCACGATTTTTTATCATTTCGAAACTTCATGAGGTTCATTGTCTCGTAAGTACTACATAGTCTCACCTTCTCATTCGATTTAAATCTGATACTGCGTTTTACTTGTAGTCGTGGATTCGTCGTCATTGGTGGACTGCCCTGACGGGGGGCAACCTGACGGAGCTCGAAGATGGAGGAGTGTTCCCAGTCCACATCGACCATTGCTTCGAGTACCTTAGACAAGCTCTCTCGTGCGGAGGAGAAGACATAGTCTTCGAGGGATATAGTCCGTTGATGCATGAAGGGAGAGTCTCTACGGCTGTATCAGGATGGGGAAGAGCTCATCGATGTATTGATTTTGATGCGTTGGCGGATTTTCAAACCCAGCAGGAGGCGAGGTATAACCTTACCTGGCAAAGAATTGATCAATAGTTAATAATCATTTGCTGGATACTACATTTGTATTTCAGAATCTACTGGAGCCTGAACCAACGAACATAGAAGTTAGAACGGGGAATAAAGGTCCAAGTCAGGGCATATGCACATGGAGAGGTTGGATAAAACCTTCAAGAGAGTTTTACTCGCACTAGTTTCAAGCTCCCAAAGTTGACTGTCCACTTTTCTATACCCCTAATTGCCCACTTAAGCTATGATTTCTTTCGTGAAGAAATTTTATAGAGCTGCTATGATACATTCGTCTCAAGTACGTTCGCTCTCAGTCTAACGCTGAATACTGTAATGTGACGTGTAATTACCGTTTAGTTATAATATCCACTAACAAGAATATCTACTAACAAGAGCTAGTGGATTTCGTAATTGCTTCCTGAAAATGGAGGGATGAGGATCCTTCGCAAGCTACTTCGCCAACTTTGATGAAATCCACAAACCCAACTGCATACCAAGCTTAATCCTTCTTAGCTTCCAGAGCAAGGTGCCGAAGTGGCGACTATCGGAAAACCCGCGGTTGCAGCTGTAAGCTGCATGTTTATCTTTTTAAGCATAGTCAGATACGTGCAGATGCGGGCGAGGGCGGTCTGGGGTAACGGGAAACAAGACTGGGAGGTGTTTATTTTACTAGGAATATGCGTCGATACGTAAATAGCCCAAACACGCAGACTCGCATTCGCGGGGGTGAGCAGAAATGGGGGCCTTAAAATGGCGTGGAATTAAGCCGAAAAGACGTTATTCTGATACTCGGTCGTTTCTGCCTCGGCATTCCACCAGTGCACCATACCTTGACAATTCGGACAAATTTTCGGAAGAGAATATTATGCAGATGTGGAGTGCGGTTACAATGTGCTTATCTTAACAGCGAGCATTCCATGGTTTTACCTTGCCATTTACCATAATGATCAGATAGCGTATTGTGTACAAAACGGCAATGGCAGACTAGGTGGATAAAAGGGTCCTTTAACTTGCCCTAGTTATTTCCTGATTCCGATCTCTATGAAGGAAAACTCAAGAGGAAAATTTCAACTGTCTGCTACTCAACCACACCACCGATAGCCCATCATGAATTCTCTGTTCACATCAAGGTCTAAGTATCAGACTGTTCGGACGGATGAGGAGAGCCCCAAACTCGGCCGACCGCCGTCAAGATTTCATTCCATGATAGGCAAACTTCTATGGACTTTTCTAGGCGTAGCCATCGGTTTGACACTCGGGTTGACTGTCAAACGCAATGACGCCGTATCAACATATTGGGTTGCGCCACTCTCTCCTATCCCAACAGAAGTTCTCGGGCCACGCATATCCAAAGTATTTAATCCGGATGAGCGATACATTGGTCCTTCAGAAGAGGTGGATCGAAATTGGTTAAATGTTGTCGGTCTGTATAATATGTTCAATAATGCCTGTGAAATGTTTTCAAAGAGTTGGTGTGCTGATGATCTTGTTGGAAATAGACTCAGATGCGATATATATTCCAAACCCGCAGGCACATGGACTCGCAACGGGGATGCAGCCACCACCACAGTCCCTACAACCACCTAGTAACATCACTCCACCCTCAAACTTCTATTTCGTTTCCAATCTGCACCAATTCCACTGTCTAGTAAGTATCTTTCCTCTCTACCTCTACTTAAGCTTCCTATATTAATTGCTGATTTGCATGCCCTTTTCCATTTAGAACATCGTCCGCAGACGTTATTGGTCACTTATAAATCACGGCTACGATCCTTCGGATCCAGAAAACGAGGATTGGAGAATCCACGTCGATCATTGTATAGAGTATCTGCGATTAGGCATCACGTGCGGAGACTTGCTGGTCGTGGAGCCGGATAGCCCGCCCGGAACACCGGTGGAGCTGACGGTGGATGGCTTGGGGTGGGGTGTTACGCATGAATGTATAAATTTTGAAAGGCTGCTAGTTTGGCAAAAGGAGCAGGAATTGCTATATGTGGAATCCTGGCAGAATCGAAGTTGATTTCGGAGTTAAATCAGATAGAAGAAAGTGATTAATTATAAAGCTAGTGTCTAAGTAGATATCAAGAAAAGGAAAACTATTTGCTTTAGTATCTTATAAAGCGTTTACATAAGTTATGATTCTATTCTTTAGTATAGTATAGGAAAAGACTAGTAGTTTCCCTCCTATTAGTTTACTTTAGTCTAAAATGAAATTTCTCATTTGTGTACCTCATGTTTACGGTCAACTCCATGCCCGGTAACCCTTCTCGGCAGCTCTCTCGCAATGCCCGCTCCCGCATTAGAGCCCTGAAAAACGCTGTTTGCTATCATTTTGAAAGGACTGGCGCAATCCCCAGCAGCAAAAACCCCGGAGACATTAGTTTGATAGAAAGGCATTTTGGTGACAATGTCTTTCCGGGCATTGGTTTCCAATGCTAGTTGCCTTACAATACCCGGACTGGCTTGAGTATGCTGGTGGACGAGGAAGCTCTTCGCCTCTATATATCCGTCGTCCAGCTCAATCATAATCCCCGAGCTTTCGGGATCTTTGACCAACTGATTGATCTTGCGGTTATCAATATGGATATTCCCTGTCCCTCTATGCGTGAGAAGCTTGTTGATGTCGTCTCCGAGCTTTCTATCTCCGTTCGTATACACCACTACCGAATTTGCGAACTTTTGGGCATCTTCGATTAACATGGTGGCATGGTATGGTGTTCCAGCAAGCCCCATACCAAGTAGGCCAGCCGAACGGCTTCTCTTGTACTCCAGGCCGCGAGTGAATAGACAATGCAGTCTACGAGATATACTGTTAATTGCAATCGCTCGCAAGCAAATACTGGGGAACGAGTCAGATGATACCTACATTCGGTCAGGAAAATTGTCCTCGTATCCTTTATCTAAGGAAAAACAAACTCCACGCCCGTCGAAGTTAATAGCTTCCTCCCTTTCCATATCCGTCCCTACACATCGCTTACTTCGAAGAAGTCGTCATCCGTTACAGCTTTCCGGACTGTGGTAATTTCCGTCTCTAGAAATCTTACCAACCCGGATTTCTTGAGCTCATTGCGACTGGCCCGCCAGAGTTCATCTGGGTTGCGGTGTTCCCATGTTGGGAATGTATGAGTGGGTGTTTTCCACTTGTTGCGAGGCGAGCTGGAGCCAAAGATCAAGACGTTAATCTGATGGCGTACCAAGGTGAGGGCAGCAGAAAGGCCAGCATGGGAGCCACCAATAATCAAGACATCGGCTTCAAAGGGATCTTTGACCTCTATCTGGGGATAATAGAAGGCAGCTAGGCTGTCAGATAAACCGTATGAGACGAGCAAAACTACCAGGGATAAGATGAGAACCCCAACCGCGTAGAACGAATGAGAGTGTATAGGTGTATCGTTCTCGCTGAATTGTTCGTCTTTCGACACTATGCAATATGTTCATGATATCGAAGTACATGCGGAGTGAGGGCAGGCAGCTACTCCCGATATATACGGACATAATCGGTACGCGGAGGCCGGAAATCGGGCACCATGACTACATAGGTAATTTGCCTAAGTGCCAATAGGCAGTGTAATGCCCCTCAGGTCGCGAGCCATAGGGGACTGTGAATAGGATCAAGATCCTTAAACCAGAAGCGACCGGGGTTGTACGAGCAAGCGGGGAGGAAGCCTGTTCAACATTGTTATATACGGTAATTATGTACCCATGTGGCCGAGTTATCCTCCCTTGCCGTAATCCTTTACTGGGAATGCACCGAGGTTCTTGCATAGCATCAAATACAATACCAACCAGTTTCAATAGCCCAAGCAAGCGATCACACTCATATTTGTGTCGCTTAGCCCCATCCACCCTCGTCTCTTCTTCAGCCTTCACCACTATTTCGAGATCCTCCAGCGCCTCCATACTACCCAAAATGTCATCTCCAACTCAATTTCTAGCACCGGAGCTTGCTGATATTCTCATCGTCGGTGGGGGACCCGCTGGCATCACATCAGCCCTCAGTGTGGCCCGCAATGTACACACAGCAGTGGTGTTTGATTCGCGCTCGTACCGCAATGAACTTACCAGCCACTTCCACATGCTACCGACCTAGGACGGCAAGAATCCCATTGCATTCCGTGATGCAGCCAGACAGAACACGCTCGACAACTACGAGTCCGTTTTCTTCCAGGATGTGGAAATTAAGCAGGCCAAGAAGAACAATGACGGGGTTTTCGAGCTCACCGATGAGAATGGGAAGGTTTGGAAGGGCAAGGCCTTGGTCCTGGCAACGGGTATCATCGACATCCCAGTGGACATTCCCGGTTTTGATGAATGCTGGGGACGAAGCATGTTAGTAGTCCCATATCATCTTGATTTAAGAACGTGTGCTGACCAACAACCAGTTTCCATTGTCTGTTCTGCCATGGCTATGAACAGAGAGGAAGCGCATCCTCCGGTGTCCTAGCCATCGGTGATGTCGCACCTGTTCCCCTCGCACTTCACGTCTCTCGCAATGCAGCTCAACTTACCAAGTCGGTTACCATCTACACGAATGGCGATGCCTCTCGCGCAGCCGAGATTCAAGCTGGCATTGGGTCTGTTGCCCCCTTTACTGTCGATAGTCGCCGCATTACTAAATTTGTTCTCGGCCCCAACCAAATTGGCCTGACTATGTGTTTTGAGGACGGCAGCAGCAAGGAGGAAGCTTTTCTTAGCCACAAACCCAAAAGCAAAATCAAGAGCTCATTTTTAGCCGAGCAGCTGGGCCTTGAACTAACACCCCAGGGAGATCTCAAGGTGAACCCTCCTTTCGGTGATACTAACTTGTCTGGCTGCTTTGCTGCTGGCGACAACTCTTCTTTCTTGAAAACGAGCCCCAACGCTGTCAATTCTGGTGCTAATAGTGCTGCGGGGACGGCCAGCCATGTTCAGAGCAGGTTGTATGGGCAGGAGAGTTTGGGCGAGTTCATGCAGAAGATGCAGAAGTAGTCTACCGCACAAATAGGGGTCAGAAGTCAGTTTCCAGGAGTAGTTACGATACAAAAGCACGCAATCAAAGTATATTCTAACAAATACACGTAAGAATCAGTTTGGCGCATGTGAAAAAGAGACTGTATCAAAGAGGGAAAATCCTTTGAAGTTTAACATAACGTGGATGCCTTTGGACCCTGCCACCTTATGTGAATACAGCTGGGGTAATGACTCACACCCTTCTACCCTTCCTACCTGTGTGAGTTAGATTAGTATAAGAAGGGCTGGCCTCCCAACCCCTTCTTCCTTCCTTAGTTTAGTATTCTGGTCTTTGAAGAGCTTAATACTAGCATTATTCGACCTCCTTTAACCTCTCGCTGATTCCTTATTGTGAGCTGTCACAATATAGAAACATGAGAAGCATATAACTGCGATATAGAAGCATTTAATATAGAAGTATAAGCTGAGGATATACTCTTACTATTATACTTCTTTGGTGAGAGTGCGGTCTAAGTCCTAAACAACTTTATGGGTGCGGTTTTAGTCACTTGACGTTAATTATATCATGAATAGAGGCCAGAAATGACAGGTGGGATTTAACTCAAATCAACAGGTCATATATTCCAAAATGATTACTAAGTTTCAGGCTCTATCAACAAGCATCAGTTCAGGAATAATTCTCTTGTCTTGCACCCAGAATCCAGCGCATCATTACCCAAAACTATGGCAATTTCGACCTCTGAAGAATAACAAATACTTGTACAGCTGAAAAGGACCTTTCGAGGCATTGAGAAACAGTCAAGCTAATCAGACTCTCCTCCAGGCGTCATCCACGACCATGGGTTCCTGGATTCCCTCATGGCTCGTCATCTCGATTGAGACTGTTTTATTCACCCCGGGTCCGCTAAAAACGTGCTTGTCCCCCGTAGCATGGGTAGAAAACTCCTGACTTGGTCCACTGTTGGGATCTGAGAAACTCCCCGACTCGGCCAGCCTCTTGATTGATCCGGTCTCATCGCTCTGGTGAATGGTGGTCTTGTTCCGTGAGCCTCTCGAGCCTCCGGAATTCTGAGATCGAGTAATGGAAGGCAATGAAATGGCGCTGCAGACACTGTTCACAACGGAGCCAAGGGAATGCCCGCGGAAAATATGCTGAGCCGTGGGTAGACAGGCGGCGATTAGCGAAAGACCGGCTTCTATCATCGACCAATAGATCACCGTGGACATGGACAGGTTCTCGTCGAGGGTCGGGTCTAGTGAACGTTTGACCTGCGAGACGAAGATATATATGCGGGCCACTGATGCACCGGTGGCAATGGCGCCGAGAAGGAATATGCCCATCACGGCCCACCTTTTCGCTGGCGTAAGTTGGAGGGTCCAGATCTAGATCAGGGGTTCAATACCCGTCAGTGGTGGTCGGTCTTGTAACCCTGAAGTACCTCCTTTCTGCACATAAGCAACTCTCTACTACGCCTGTCGAAGCAAGACTGTTTGAGGCCAACAACGACATAGGTGGTGTATTCTGCACCCGAGTATACGAGGATGCCGAGGTTAGGGATTCCCAGCGAGGAATACCCTTTTGCCGCTGTATGCTTATTGGGATACTTGTAACAGCTCGTCTCTTTTAAATACTTAACCACTTTCTCCGATTTCCGACCTCACGATAGCGACCCCGATTTCCTATCCGCAAAGAGATATCTTCAGTACCTGAATGATTACTGTGAGCACTTCAACCTGTCTCCAGCTATCTACTTGGCAACGGTCGTGATAGCCGTGAAACGACTAGAAACTGGTGTCCATATGGTTTCATATAGGTCCAAGGACGGCGTTGTTACGGAGTGGGCCTGTGATGCGATCGCAGTTTGCTCGGGCCTACACGTCACGCCTAGTATTCCTTCTATCGATGGCATAGATCGAGTCCAGACAGTGATACATTCGGCGGATTTCAAGGCTCGATCTCAATTTGGAGTGGATAAGACGGTGGCTATTCTAGGCCCTGGCGAGACCGGACTTGACATTTCGTATCTGGCAATCACATCCCCGACTAAGCGAGTTGTGCTGTGCCACCATGATGGCTTCTGTGCTGTTCCCAAGGTAAGTGCACAGGGTTTTTAAAGCGAACCGGAACTTTAACATGGAAATGCTGAGATACAGTAGCAAGCTCCCGAACCCGTCATGTTTCCAATGTTTGGAGGCAGGTCGCATCCCAAGCCAGATCCGAACGTGCCTATAGACACTGTCGTCGCCAGCTTATTCGATACCGCTTACGTTCATCCTACGCTACGAGACAGCAAAGCTCACTGGAACTACTATGATAATCAGCAGAAAACGTCTATGTGGTTCATGTCAGGGACTAGAGAAGGGCTTGATCAATGGGTTGGTGGCATACCCGAACAACGCTACCATGCCTCTAAGAGTATGTTGACTTGAGACTTGATATTACTACTGCTCTAGGGAAATCCAGCGAGGCTAACTAAAAGTGCATCAAGTCTTCTACACAAAGTCTATCAAGGCAATCCCTTATATCTCTGCACCATATCGGACAGCCCAATCGTCCACCATGTCGCAGAGAACCCGCTCCTGGATCATGCAAGTTCCAATCGTCGACACATCGATCTTGCCCCCTGGCCATCCCATATTAGCGATCATGGCCTGCTCCACTTTCAGGACAATGGCCGTCCCGAGTATCAGAGGATGCGGGACGAGAAGGTCAAGCCAGATGTTGTGATACTCGCTACGGGCTATAACCAAACTTTTCCCTTTTTCGAGACAGAAGGCTTCCATGGTAGTTACCCATCAGCTTCCGATGCCGACGTCCGCGAAATATAGAAACGGGACGATCCGAATGTCGGCTTCATCGGATTCGTGTGCCCAAATCTGGGCGCTATCCCCCCTTTGACAGAAATGCAGGCACAACTCTGGATCCTGAACTTACTTACCCCAGGTCGTGTAACGCATGCACTCTTGCCGGAAGACGAACAACATTACCGTCTTCTTCCACCCCCCAATTTTCGCATTAAATACGGCGTTGGGCATGAATCTTACACATACCAGCTAGCCCTAGACATTGGAGGCGCGGCTGGATTTTGGGAAGTTTTGCTTGCGGGTTGGAGAGCAAGTATTCCAGGGAGCTGGTATAAGATACCCCTTGTGTGGGCTCTGGGATCCAACTATAACGCCAAATTTCGACTGCGGGTCCATGGCAGTCGGATGATGCTGATAAAGTACTTGCGGTGGAGTTATGGAACACAATAAAAAGAAGAGGTGGGCTAGTCGGTAAGTCTTTCCTGACTTTATTACAGATCATGTTTGCATATGTAAGCTGATCTTGAAGCTACTAGAACACATGACGTTGTCGGTATTGCCAGTCATATACTTTGGAAATCTCAGCCTCCTATTGTACTTGTATTACGCTACTACAGATTTTTTAAGACCACTATGGACTTCCAGGTTACTTCCGGTTGGTCACGGAAAACGGAGAATAAGCTTAAAGGGTTTTGGTAAATAGTTAGGCTAGTATACTCCAGCGTAGCCCTCCCGCGAGTTGATAGACAAGACTTTGGAAATCTGCTGGCGCTGCAGTCACGATCTTTGGCTATCACTATCGAACAATTTGCACAGAATCACATATGCTACAAAGTTCAGGATGGTCTGAATTCGCCTGGCGCTACAGCAAGTGTCACTCGTTCCAAAGGATTACTTACGGAGGTGATTGAATTTGAGTCCTTTGACTTTAATCTCAGATAAGACCTACTCAGTGCTGGTTTAGACTATTTACATAGGCTTTTCACGCTGAAGGCGAATTGTTCGAGTGGTAATTGTATATGGGAGGCTTTCAACACTTTGGCTTGCTGTTCACACTGTGAAGATCGAATCCATGAAATTCTAGCTGAATAAGAGGCTCTAGGAAGAAACAAAATAGAGAGGGGAATGAGGGAGAGGGGGAAAACGAATAAATATAAGGACTACCATTTTGCGTCACGAGGAGATGGAGGCAATCGTTTTTTGCTCCTCTTCCCAGAATATATTAAACGTAGATAAGAGAAAATAGCAGTTCTCTAATTAATGACTTGACCTACTCGCCTTTTTAGTATTCCTACAGCTGGAGTCCCACTTGGAGCGACCCATAGCCACAAATATTTGAAAGTTTGTCATGGTATCTGACAGAACGGAAGTCCCTGAATATCGAAATATGAGGACAGGCGTGCTCATGCCTAAACACGAGTCTAGGCCAAGGTGACCAGGGTAATATAAGCTGGCTTTACTGCTGATTGGCGGCGCTCGGCGACCTGTTGATTTGCCGGATCCCGACCGCCTGAAGGCTGACTCGACCACCCATCCGAAGACATAGGCCACCGCAAATAGAACGAATCTTTTCTGCCTGCCACTTTTTTCTCTCCCAATACTTCTCATTCCTGAATATTGTGGCCATAAGTAGGCCCACGCTCCAGCACCGCCTTTACGGCAGTCCTGGATACCATTCTGTCGCCCCAGGCTTTGATGTTCGGGTACTTTTCTAAGTCAGCACCTATGAAGCGGAACATCCATGGCATTGCATAAGGAAAGTATGATATGTCCGCAATCGTTGGACGATCAGGAAGAGCGATATATAGCTGTTCAGGTATACTAAAGCGGCGCTCTAAAATATCCCAGTGGCTGATACAATTTTCACGCAATCTGTTCAAAATATGTTAGAAGGTATTGCGGAAAACCATGTAGACCTCATACTTCGCCACAGTTTTTGGCAGTGCCTCTGGGTTCTTGCGGTTTGGATACCCTTTCAAAAAATACAGCCAGTATTTGGCTGTGGGACTGAGTGAAATAATTACGTGTCAGCTCAGTACTGGAATCGTGTGTGCTAATCATACCCAAGTCCAGCCGTCTGGTATGCTGTCCACGAAAGCACAGCGGCTTTCTCTGCCGGATTGCTTCCACTCCATACCCCATCTTTGTCATATCGCTCAGTTAGATACTGCAGACAGGCAGTACTCTCAAATACGGTGATTTCTTTTTCTGTCACAGGGCACCAGTCCTTGAGTGCTGGAACATACCGCTCGGGGTGGACTTGATAGTACCAGGTCGATTTGGTGTCAATAACAGAGATGACATGAGGAATATTAAGCTCTTCAGCCAATATCAATGGCTTAATGTAGTTGATATAGCTGGTTTGATCCGCTGGGGGCTTTTGTCACTGAATGCTCCCAAAGTGCTCCTTTCAATTCTCACCTTTGATAATGTAAAGAATGGCTAGGCCATCATAGGCTAAGTCGCCTTCAACTAGTTCGCACTCCATCATTGATGTGTTCATACTGCTACCAGATCTCCATTGCCTGTCCTTGTGTAGATTTTATAGAATTCTTTGCCCTGGTAGCCGGGCCGCGATTCTGGGCACCGAAGGCATCTGGGACTAAGTCTGAACATGTGGCGCGTAGGCGCCGGAACCATTTGCTTCTAGGTGTATATTCATGCTGAGGTACATAAAATGGCGGCTAGTAGCACCAGATTCTACGAGAATCTTGATGTATGCGTTTTATACTTAGCTAGGCCCTTTCTACTAGTCAATTTCTACATGAAGTCCATCTTTCTATGCTAATTATGTACGCCTTCATATCATGTGCCTTTTACGTTATTCACTAACCAAGATCATGTGTCATTGAATCAGTCTCAGTGTACAAGAGATCTACAGTCATGGAAGCTGTACGACATTGATTGTATCGGAATCGACACGGATCAGAATGATGTGACGGAAGTGAGAATCCAGACTTATGATTCTAGACTGGTCTGAAATCCATCGCTTTGACCCATGCTCTCCTGAGGTCCCAAATTCTCTCAATCTTCCAGCCGGATAGCTTTGCCAGGCTTCGCCATTGCTCCTCTGTTCTTTCCTGGCCATTGGTAGTCATCATCATATTAATGTCTCCGTATTGACTCAGCCGACTGGAATGTCCCTGAGCGAGTACTGATTCCAGAACGATCAATCTGCTATTTGGGCCTAGTACGATACCTTCGTGGATCTTCTTTAGGATCGCAACTGCTTGAGCGTCTTTCCAGTCGTGAAGACACCACTTCATCGTGTATACTGTACACGCCGGAACGGACTCGAAGAAGTCTCCACTAACCAGATTTTTGTCGCTGACTTGACTCCCAATATCAGAGTACTGACCTCCTGGACGAAAGAAAGGGCGAACATGGACGATGATATGGTGGAGATCGAAAATACCGCCCTGCATGGTGGGATATTGCCTTAGCAGACCTGCCATGAAAGCCCCTCCTCCACCACCAATATCCATGATAAGGCCGTCGGCAACCTCATGCCATGGGTAATCCTCAAGTATACCCGGCATTTGCGCTGCAGCACCTCCCCCCAGTGTACGATGAAGCTCTGGTACCCATCCCTGACTACGAAAGTAAGAGAACATATCATCATCCGTATCATAATTGGTCTGAGCAGCGGATCTTGTTGCATCATCGCGGATCGACATTCCAATGCCGCGCGCGATGTCATAGAATTGGTTTCCGTAGAGCGTTACCCAGTTATGCCATTGAGTCCAGTGTTCTGATCGGAGCAATGATGAAGCCGCGCTATTAGAGAAACGGCCCGTGGAATCATCAAAGATGAATATGCCATGGTTGTAAAGAATACTCAAAATCTGGCCTAGTCTATCACTTCGAGAATTTGTTGCATTGGCGAGCTCGTCTAATGTCATTGGGCCCTTCTCCAGCGCATCAGGGACACCTCTTTGTACGGCGGCAGAGAGGCATTTTGTCTTCACGTAACCTAAAAGACGTAAGAGTGGGTAGATTGGAAACATGGTAGTTACATACCTAAAAAGTGATCTGCAAGAATTAGCAGAGGGGGGTCGAGAAGCAACTGGAGCTTGTGCAGAAAGTCAACCGCTTGAGCCGCCTCTTTAGAGGCATCCACATCTGGGAGCCGGTCTTCATTGTGTAGAGTCTCCGCTAAGAGTGAATGTAATGATTCCAAACTCTGCAAGGAGTTTTCAAGGTGATGATTCAGATCGCAAAGGGCTTGAGTGACGTCTGATGCATTTTTCGGACTCTGCAGGGGCCCAAATTCAGGTTCCTTTCCCATCTTGTTATAATACACCTGTTGAGTTCAGTGCAGCAGTTGAATTTCATTCGAGTGGCCGCAAACAGAGGCTGTAGATAATACTGGGGTGGGGGGTTAAGCCGAACTGTCGCAGCAGCTCTGCCAGTGCTTATATTGCTATCCGGGAGCCGGCCGTATCCTTTGCGGCATGCCGATCGTCCAGTCAGATTACGGAATTCAGTAATCGTAACTGTTGCAGCTATAGCTGCACTTATCGCAACTATTATAGTTCTTATTCGATGAATGCTGGTGGGGTTACCACGACAAAGAGAGATCCTCTATGAGATTGAAATATGTTTGGGTTTTCCTCAATTACAGTGGGATGGGATCTACCACTATACTACTTTATTACTAATAAGGAATATTACCATATTAGTCGGAATTGAGGCTATATCAGGGCTGTATTTGCCTTTCCACTTGCGCAACTATCAATGGAGCCATGAGTCCATGACTACGTGTCGACCTTCCATTTAGCTCTATATAATGAGCCAATGTATGCATATGTTTGGTAGAAGATGGCATTCAAAAGAAAGGTTTTACGTCATCCTCGAGTGTTCGGATATAGCGCATTGAGGAAGCAACTTCCTCGACACTCTCCAAGACCCTAATGATGTTTAGACCCATGACTCCTAATATATCATCTCTTTGAACCCCTAGGTTTTGGAGCTCCTCAACAAGATTCGGGTATCTGGTCACATCTTCCAGTCCTCGAGGACCTGCTTCCATGCCATCAAAATCCGAGCCAATCCCAACATGCCTGTATCCAATTGCGGTACCTATATACTGGATGTGATCCACGACCGATTCAATCGACGCACTGACCGCTTCATCCTCCAAAAAAGAAGGATAGAACGTCACCATAACAATGCCGTCATTTTTCTTGACCTCCCGTAAAACATCGTCGGGTACGTTCCTTGTATGGTTGCATCGCCCATACGCATTCGAATGTGAGAACATGACGGGTGCGGCCGATACGGCAAGAGCATCGCGTTGAGTTGCAAAGCTAGTATGTGATAGGTCCACGATCATGCCAAGCCGGTTCATCTCCTTAATCATAAAGCGTCCTGCTTTGGATAGCCCATCGTGAAGAGCCATGGCGGGCTCTTCGCTATCGGCGTAGGCATTGTGGCAAGTATGAGTGAGTGTAGCATACCTGACACCCAAAGAATAGTACATGCGTAAGATACTTGCACTTCCGCCGATCTGATGCAGACCCTCAATTCCCAGCAACGACGCAATCCTTTTTCCCGATTTAAAGGTTCCCCGAATATCGGAGGCTGTATATGCGCCTTGCAGGTATGCAGGATACTCTCTTATGAGACGATGTACGAGGTCGATTTGCTGAAGCGTGTCGTGGACTATTTCCCGGTAAACATCGTCTGAATAATTATCTGCTTCCTTCGGACTGTTTATATTAGGTAGGTGCGACGTGCATAGGTTGAGAGGGGTAATGGGAGTACCATTCGACATATACACTCCAGAATTGACCTCGGAGACGGCCTTGGCGAAGCCTTGGGAAATCAACTTGTCCATAGAGCTCTGGATCCCGAGTGAAGTTTTCTTGGTAAATATGATTTTGGTAGAAAGCCCGGATCCATATTGGGAAATCGTTATGTCCATCTATCTACCACTGTCAGTTTGGGTTCAACGGGCGGAAATCAAACACGTTCGAAGGAAAGTATAGCACGAATACTTACCAATCAAAGGCGACAATTCGAATAAATCATCGTGTATCCATTCACTAATGGGCAACAATGGGTGCCATAAGAAATGGACGAATCCAACGCATAACATTATGATTGTAAAAACGATTAACGGTGGGTGCCGCGCCGGAGACTTTAATATCGCATTTGCCTGCGGATTAATGTATGAGCCCATTTTGCGATGATGCCGAATTCGTCACAAAGGGATGCGGTACTTAGGAAAGATGATTGAAAAGACGACAGGTATTTTTGCTGAAATGAGAGGATCGACTATGATTCCACTAATGCTAATATGCCGGAGACGCTGTTTATTAGATCAAGGTGTCTGAGCGGCCGACGATTTTCACAGATCCATGCCCCCCTGTTCATCTCCGATTACCGATGCAGAGCGCTTTCAAACAGCTCGTGCCCGTCGAAATGGGCTAGGATCATTCATCATTATCTCTATGCCTGTAACTAGAGTCTAGGCTGATCCTGCCTGCTACTAGTCGCCAACGCTGCATTATATAGTCCTATATCATCAAACTCCTATGTGGTTTAGGTTACTTACGTTTTTAATGTTTCTCCTTCTCTTTCATACCAAGCTCTGGTAACAGCAGAGGCCGGCTTTAGGGAGGTTGGGGCTCTGAAACTTTGAAATTTGACGGGCCAAGTATCGGAATCACGGCCAACCTGCTTATTATACCAAACCTGATGAATAGTAGTACGCGCGAATCTCAAGGCTGCAATCAACTGCCCGTAGCATTTGCAGGATGTCACTGATGACTTCTCCATAATAACATTGTTCCTGTCACATTGTGGAGGGACAACACAACCGCGGACTCTAGGCTAGGATTGTATAAATATATATATTAAATACTCTGTATAAAAGAGTGTGTTGTAGAATCGATGGTGGACTAAGTTCATCGAAGTGTCCGATTTTATAAGGTACGGTGCAGTGCGTGCTAGCTGCATACCCCACTTCACGTGACAGCCCATTTTGTCCCCACCACAACATACTTTAGTCAGGCCATAGACGAAGCTCCGCAATTGGGCATGTGTCCAGTGTGGATTGCGTATGTTGTAACAGCTTGAATAGCCTATAAGTATGATGCTTAAACCTCTGGACACATAGTCACATACTACCTACTCGAGGGCATTTTCGCTTACTCGTAGCCCCTTCTGAAGTCGAAAAGTTCAGGTAGCATGTACATGTTTTCAAAACGCAGTAGGGGCTATTACAATCATGTTCCAGCACGATTTCGCCTCGTAAATGGGACGTTTGACTTGGGTCCATGTCATAGAGTCGTATGGAAATTCAGCTTCACACTGGATTTTAGCGAAACGAGCATGTTTTGAATCTAGGGGTAGGAACACCTGAAAACCAACTGATTAAGCCACTAAATACAGCCTATATAGCATAGTGAATATAATTAATCCTGAAAACAGGAAAACAATCTTCTGATTCCGCTGATTATGTTAATGTCTTTTTAACTAAGAATAATTATATATTCAGAAAAGTTATTTTGAATCAGTGTAGAGCTCATCCTGAGTTTGTTATCTCGGTGCCCGAAATTCGGCAGCCGAGCAAACCTCACATCAATAGTCCCCTTAACTGCACGCATCATAAGCATTTGTTTATCATCGGTACAGAAAGATATATTTTCAGGTATAAGACTTTATGTGTTATTTTGAATAGTGCAGGTATCATATTACGCATAATAAGAAGACCAGAAGTCAAGTGTAGTAAAAATTAATAATGCTGTAGATTGCTAAGTGAAAGAGTGGAGGCACGTACGACTTTAAGGTCGTACACGGCGGGTAGCCTAGCACGTGATTATTAGTTCCAAACAGATACTTGGGAATTACCAAAGTAGTGGCCAATTTGCTGCATTATCAAGGATACCCCTCGTCCGGCTTTCCGAATAGTTACATATATATATTCCACCACCGCTGACATGATGCTATTCGGAAGTCCGTACGAAGAGCGCTCTTCGTCTACGATGAGTAATCACACGTGACCCCTAAAGCTTATTCCGACTGTGGATTACACTTTTTTATAGGTTTCTTGACACCTTTTCATCCATTTTATATACCAAATCGATAATTAATACTACTTACATGTCAGATCCTAGCCTAAAAACTCGAGCTTCCTATGTGTGTAGGGAATAGGCTCAGAGCCTTTATAGTGATGTGATGTGAAATGGCTGACTAAGCAATGGGGATAACCTCTTCGCATTGCAACCACCACTTTAGCTAGTATCGAACCAACCACCAATGAACCACCAGTACCATAACCTACGGACCTACACGTGTAATGAAGTGATCACCTTGTGAATCCAACACTCTCGATCCATTATAACAGTACATGAGGCAACAGATATAAGAGATCTAAATGTCCTCGAACTTCTTCCCGAAATACTCCCCTTCGTTGAAGCCTACAAAATTCCCGCCCTGCTCCTTCTGTGTCGAGAGAGCATTTTTGATAGACTCAAACGGCAGCCCGTCCACAATCACGTCCAACGCCACAACCACCATTCCTGCCAATTCCGAGATAGTCTTTTCGTCGAAGCACTCGTCACTGTACTCTAGCCTCATGAGTAGAGATCTATGATTTGTTACTACAAATTCTATCATGAGCTTGAATTTGGCACCCTGGGTCCAGGTGTATAGCGGCTTCGCGTCGATGCCTGCTATACCAATCTTTTCGAAGCTTTCTATGTATGATACCATCACATCAAAGAGGGGCGTATCCGGCAGGTCTGACGTGATGCCGAGATTCTTGAGAAGCAAGTTCCATGGGACGGCGTGGCCGAGGGCGTCTTGGCTTGATTCCCGAACCGTATTGAGGAAGTCTAGGCTAGCACCACATGAGGCGGAAGGCGAAAAGCGAATGCGAATCGGAAGAGGCTCGAGAAACAACCCGACGACATTCTGTTCTTCGCTGCCGCTTCTGCCTAGGTGTGGTGCACCAAGGACGATGTCAATTATACTGGAGTGATGTTGCAGCGCGAGAGCGGCGGCTGCTAGTGCCACCTGATGTGCGGTTATCTTTTGAGACAAGGTGAATTCGCGGAGCTTCCTGAAGACATTGGTCGGCACTCTACATACGAATGATGCACCGCTGTAAGAATTCCGCCTTTGCCACTTCCCAATGCTGTAGTTTGGCTTTGGAAGATCCTGGAGATAACTCTGCCAAAACTGCAAATCCGTCGTATGGTGCTCACTAACCTGAAGCTGAGAACCAAATTGTATAGGATGGCCCAACTTGATGCCATTGTACTTGCAACTTACTTCATGGAGCAATGTGTTCAATGCTGTGTAGTCGCAGATGATATGGCTCGCCACCAGGAGAAGTATGGTCGGTGTCAGCACTATGCGCACCAGATAGTCATGTGCTAAATCGAAAGGTATATTCATCTCTTCTTGTATGTTAATTTTGTTCGCTTTTCGAACTCGTGGAGAAGCAGACGAGAATTTTTTCCGGATGGGCCAACGCGACGGCGTTTGAAAATGACACCGAAGAATATTGTGGCGATCAAGGACCGCATCCCACGCGTTGACCAGTCTGCTGAGGTCAACTCCTGCGCCGATGTCAAAGGCTAAGGCAACGTTGAACGATGAGGTGATGCTGTTAAATTTGTATTTCCTGCACCAATCCTCTTCAATGGCTGATATATTTTGTCCTGTGTACGTTCGTCGAGCATCGGATTGGTCAGTAAGAGGCCCCTTTTCTAATGTTTCCGCCAGATCACCAAGCGTTGACGATTTGAGGATTAAAATAAGTGGGATATCATAGCCCAGGAGAGTAGAAAGTTTGTTGGCCAGTTGGAGCTGCAACAGGGAATGCCCACCCAATTCCACGAAGTTAGATTCTAGACCCAGTGAAATATCGGCCAGCCCAAGTACTTCTTTCCACACTTGAGAAATCAGTTCTATTAGATTGCTCTTCCGCATAGGGACAGTTGACACCAGACTCGTGCTTATCGACTTTCCGACAGCCTTGTAGTCAAGTTTTCCAGTATTTGTTCGTGGAAATTCCGAGACGGCAACTACATGCCGAGGCAATGCGTAAGTTGGCAAAACTCTCGACAGTACCGTTTTAATGTCCAGTAATTGCACGTTTTCGGGCTGCAGCTGTACCATGAGCTGCCCATTGTCGCAGGCAACAGCCGCACCAGTACATCCAGGAACGACATTTCGGATCCGAACCTCTAGATCATCCAAGTCGAGTCGAAACCCGCGCAATTTGATCTGTCTATCATATCTTCCGCAAGACTGAAGCTCTCCCTCCCCGTTCCAGTAGCCTCGATCTCCAGTACGGTACATCTGTTCTCCAGCCCTCAAGCTTATGGAATCTGGTAGGAACCGTTTGGCAGTCTCCTCTGGTCTGTTGACATATCCTTGAGATATCTGCACTCCCGCAAGGTAGACTTCTCCAATAACACCTGGAAGAACCAGCTTTTGCTGATTGTTGAGCACATATATGCGTGTAGATGGGTTTGGTTTACCGAGAGTTACGGGTTTGTTGCATTTCAACTCCTTGATGGTGGCGCCGCACGTCGCTTCTGTCGGTCCATCTGAGAAGTCAAAATATCTTAGCTTTTGGAGTTCTTATCGGGAGGTAGAAACAAGAATACCCAAAAACGACTTGGAAGCAACAAAAAGTATAACAGGATTTGACTACTCACACATGTTATAGGTCGTTAGTTTGCTTGCCCATCGATTGCAAACAACTTGCGGAACAGCTTCTCCCACAAGGTAGAGGACATGCAAAGAGGGGAAGTTGTTGGGGTCAAGAACTTGAGCAATAGAAGGAGTGAACATAGCCGCATCGGCAGTTGTAATATGCGCAAAAGGGTCAGCCGAGCTCTGCAGGACCAGTGTGGCACCATAACACAAGGCTGAAAACACCTCATGGATGCTACCATCAAACGCTGGCGACATGACTTGAGCTATTCGCCATCTAGGCTGGGATCTCAATCGGACATTGAAATCTTTCTGAAAAGCGACAAGATTCCTGTTTGAACAAACAACACCTTTGGGAAGGCCCGTGGACCCTGAAGTAAAACAAAGATATGCCCCTGCATCTAAATCGGACAATGATCTTGA